TCAGGAGCTATTTCTGGCCCTGTGCTCAGGACTGAACCCTGCAGTGCTCAGGCCACAATAGGTGGTGTCGGGAATTCCAACCAGGGATGGCCGCGTCTTAGCCCCCCGTACTGTCTCTGGCCCAGACTCACAATGTCATGCATCTGTGAAGCCATACAGCTGTCCATTGGAAATATGTCTCTCCAGCAGAGGCTACAGCTTGACAAAGCAGGAGGGTGTAGGCTAATGAGACTTAGTGAGTAGAACCAGAAATAACACGGGGACAGCAAGAAGAAACAGACCGGAGGACGGAGCGGTAGTGCAGCGGGGAGGGCATTTGCCTGGCAAACGGCCAACCCGGGTTCGATCCCCAGAGTCCCATAGGGTGTCTAAGCACTGCCAGGAGTGATTCCTGAGTGCAGAGCCAGGAGGAAGAGGAGGAGAAGAGAAGTCAGAGAGATAGTTTGGGGTGAAGGCACTTGCCTTTCACGCAGCTGACCGGGGTTTGAGCCCAGCATGGCCTATGGACCTCTGGGTCCACGGGAGCGATCCCTGAGCACAGAGTCAGGAGTCAGTCCTAAGCACAGCCAGTGTGCCCCGCTCCAAAACGAAATGCTGACCAAGCGCGTGGGCCTGCATTTGTCTCAGAAGCTTCTGCGCCTCCAAGGAGACGCAGACCAGGATACAGAGGCAGCCACACACTGGGAGAAACCATCTGCCCATCACTCACCTGAAAAAGGGTTAATATCCCATAGGGTCCCCCGAGCACCACCGCCAGGAGTGATTCCTGAGTGCAGAGCCAGGAGTCACCCCTGAGCATCGCTGGGTGTGACCCAAAAAGCAAGAAAGAAAAAAGAAAAAGAAAAAAGGCAACAACGGAAGCCAGGAAAGTGAAAGACCTTTGCCAACAGGAAAGCAAAGGAAGTGCCAGACTCCACTTCCCTGCCCTGGGCAGCTCTGCCCTGTAATATTAATGAAGGCAGAGACATTTCCAGAAGCACGAGAGCCGAGCGTTCAGCCCCAGAAATGCCATCAGTGTCCTTGATGTCAGGGACCTTCTTCCCGGAAGCTCAGAGGCACAGTGAGGGAGGAGGAGCATGGTCAAGGTCTGGAGGATTCGAGAACAATCACCGTTTCCTTCTGGAGAGCCGAGAAGGTTGGGGAAGGGAAGGGAAAGGTTTAAGACGGAGGGAGAGCACTGTGGGCCCTGATCAAGCAGGAGCTGAAGGCCCGGAGGGGGAGCAAGTCACGTGTGAATACGAAGGGGGGGGGCTGGAGAGCACATTGGGGAGGGCCTGTGCCCAGAGGCCGACCCAGGCTCGATCCCTGGCATCCCATGTGGTTGCCCAGGCACTGCCAGAAGTGACCCCTGAGCACCACGTGTGCCCCAAGATATGGAGGGACAGAGGAGACAGGAGGGAAAGGGAAGAGGAGGGAGGGACAGAAAAGGAAGGTTGAAAAGGGGTGGGGGCTGGAGAGATAGCACAGCGGGTGGGGCGTTTGCCTTGCACGCAGCAGACCCAGGTTCGATTCCCAGCATCCCATATGGTCCCCTGAGCACTGCCAGGAGTGATTTCTGAGTGCAGAGCCAGGAGTAACCCTTGTGCATCACCGGGTGTGACCCAAAAATAAAAAAAAAAGAGGGTGAGGGACAAAAGGAGAGAGAGAACAAAAGGGAATGCCCTGCCACAGAGGCAGGGTGGGATGGGGGGGGGTGAGGGGTGGGAGGGACACTGGGATTAGTGGTGGTGGAGAATGGACACTGGTGGAGGGATGGGTACTCGATCATTGTATAACTGAAACCCAAGCACAAAAATTTATAAGTCTAAAAAAATTTTTTTGTAAGGTCTACAACTGTACCTCATGGTGTTTCACTAATAAAAATTAAAAAAGAAAAGAAAAGAGAATGGAAGGAAGGAGACAGAGCCCAGCGGGGAGGACACTCACTGTCCCCTGTACCCAGCCAGTTTAAGTTCCATCCCTGGCAGCCCATAGAGTCCCCCAATCCCTACCATGAATGATCCCTGAGCACAGAGCCAGGAGTAACCCCTGAGCACTACTACCAGGGGTGGCCCCAACACAAACAAAAAGATAACCCCCCCAAAAAAATGAAAAACAGGTGCACCACACGGTCCTACATATGGAAGGATGTCCCGCAGACAGCTGTCCGACAAACGACTGGAACCAGCGGCTGGAAAGTTGCAGGAGACCTCGAGAAGACGCTTTTCCCGGGGTGCTGGGGGTAGGGTGCAGACCAGACCAGACCTGGTAACGCTCAGGGATTGCTCTGCAGGGCCCCAGGGAATGAACCCAGCATGCGGCGTGCAGTGCACTGGCGGGATGATCGCTCCAGCCCTCTACGGAAGGTCTGAAGACAGTGCTCTGTGCTAGACCCAGAGAGGTCAGCGGGAGGGACAGCCGAGGCCGCGCCGCAGGGTCTGACTGAGGGACCCACCGCCCCAGAACAGCTCCTACTTCCCACCAGTAACAGGCACCAGGCGGGCCTGGTCTGGGCCCTGCCTGTGCATGGTCCCTGAGACCCCTGGATGCGACCCCACATCCCTGAGCACTGCCAGGTGTGGCCCGAACATGGAAAAACAAAGCGTGTTACCTGGGCAGCCACGCATGCTGCCGAGCCCCCCACCCGGCCCCTCAAGACCAAGTCTGTGCTAGGTGCTCCGTGGAGCACTTGGTCCCTGAGGGTCCCCGCCATGAGCTCATGGGGTCTGTCGGCACCCCTCTAACCGCCGTGGCCGGCTTGTTTGTCCTGCCGGAGCAGAAATCACGCCCTCTCGCGACTTACCTGCACCTCCCCGGGGCTGGATGCGGTCTCGAACACGGGACTCAGCTAGTTGCCCCTAAGATAGGGCGGGCGGGGGGCTGCCAGGCACAGGGCTCAGCTGAGACGCAGCAGTTCTGGCCTTCTGGGCCTTTCCAGCTGTCCTGGAGGGACAGTTCGAAGACCAAGAGCGATGGGAGCCGGCAGGCCAGGTGAGGAGTGTGGGCGAGGTCAGCAGGTGAGCAGCTTCTGGGGTGGGGCCTGCGGGCTCCCTGGCTGCTGCCTTGGTTTAGTTCTAGCCGTCTGCACGCCCTGCCTGGGGGCCGCCTCCTGGAGGTGCTCAGGGACCGTATGAAGTGCCAGGGGTTGAACCCGGGTCGGCTGCGTGCAAGGCAAACGCCCTCCGCACTGGACTATCATTCCGGCCCCCACCAGGGACCAAGCTTGGCAAAGAGCACAAGTCACCAACCTACTGAGAGATGATGTCTGTGGCCCGACCAAAACTGTCTTTGCTAAGGGTCCCCCTGCCTCTCTGGAGGGGGCAGAGGCAGGGGACAGCACTTAGCACTGAAGCCCACTGCGCCCCTCCCCCGACAGGCGAGTGGCTCTCCTTCACGTGGGAGGAGGCTGTGACTCCCCCCAACACCCCACTCTGGGGCTCCTTCAGCCCTTGGGAATGTTTGAGAGAAGGAAAGCATGGGAGAGGATGCTGTTGGGGTTGCCAGATACAGAAAGTAAAATATCAGATATGTCTGGGCCAGAGAGATGGTACAGTGGTTAGGGCGTTTGCTTTACACTTGGCCAACCCAGGTTGGATCCCCAGCATCCCATTGCATGGTCAGGAGAGATTCCCTGAGAGCAGAGCCAGGGAGTAAGCCCTGAGCATCGTGGGGTGTGGCCCCCAAACTAAAAATAAGGTCATGGGGCTGGAGCGATAGCATAGAGGGTAGGGCGTTTGCCTTGCACGCAGCTGACCCGGGTTCAATTCCCAACATCCCATATGGTCCCCTGAGCACCACCAGGAGTAATTCCTGAGTGCATGAGCCAGGATTAACCCCTGTGCCATGCCGGGTGTGACCCAAAAAGCAAAAATAATAATAATAATAAGGTCGTGTGAAGCGTGGCGGAAGTGGTTGAGCTCTGGGCAGCGCATTAGGGACGTGGATCGTGGATGCATGCCCCCATGGTCCGGCTACTGTGGCCAAAGGTTTGGGGGGGATGGGAATCAACCTCCGGAGAGGGGTGTTCTCAGGCCTGAGGGTGTCTGGGCTCATTTTCCGTGTATCGGATTCACTTTCCAGGAACTGTCAGACGTGATTCCATGGGCACTGTGGCCAGGGCAGTGCCCAGTCCTGGCTCATGTTGCCTGGGCAGTGACATAAACCAGGCACACACCTGGATGTTGTTCCACGTGCGCTCTGTTCTGTTGATGTGATTCCTCACGACAGTGTTTTCCAAAGCAGTTGAAAGCAGGCAAAAAATAGAAAGAAAAGAAAAAGTTACTTCCCTACCAGGGCGTTAAGGCCCAATTAATGCCCACGGACAAGGGAAGAAAGAAATGTTGGTGCTCGTCCGTCCCACATGCCTCTCCCTAAGAAATTCCCAAAGACCAGCAACTGTCAGGCGGCAGCTTAGCCCTAATCACCGCGCTGCCAAGGAGGAGAATAAGGAAACGAAAAATGTCCCTGGCTGATGGACGGAGAGTCTGGACAGCCAGAGAAGAAGCGGCTCTTAATTTACTCCCAGGGCTGCCAGCCTGTCTGCAGCCGCGCGGGGATCAGAGAGCGGGTGTGCAAAGGCCCAGGTGGTGCACATCTGGCAGAGACCAGGAAGGGAGAAGTGGACACTTCTCAGGTGCACAGACAGGTGTTCTGACCACCAAGGAAGGGCACCCCACAGGCAGGTGTTCGGGCCCCCTAGACCCCCGAGGAAGGGCACCTCACAGGCCCCGGGACCGAACAGGTTCCGCAGCATCTGCAGGCTCACGGGGGAGGGGCCCGGGGGTGCCACGCAGCCTGCGCACGAGCCCGGACAGCCCCCGACCCTCGGATCCCCAGCGCTGGGGTCGCGACAGCCGGCCGGCGGGGCAGCACGTGGCGGAGGCCGGTGCCGCTTCCCGCCAAGGCCGCACGGGGGCGCGGGGCGCAGGGCGCACGGCGCAGGCGCGGGCGCGGGCGGCGGCGCCCTCCGGCCGCCAGGGGCCGCTGTGGCGCCGCGGCGCCGGGCCGCGCGGGCGGGGAGGGCGGCGCGCCGGGCCCTCTTGAGCGCGGCCTCGCCGGTTTGGCGGGGTGAAAGGTCGCGAAGATGGCGACGGCCTTGAGCGAGGAGGAGCTGGACAATGAGGACTATTACTCGCTGCTGAACGTGCGGAGGGAGGTGAGGGCGGCGGCGGGCGGCGGGCGGGGCTCGGGCCGGGCCGGGGGGTGCGGCCGGGCCGGGCGCGGGTGGCGGGGGCGGCTCCGGGCGGCCGGGCCGGGCCGCGGGGCCGCGTGACCCCGCCCGACGTGCGCGGCCGCCGCCGCCGCCGCCGCCGAGCGCGCGGCCCCCGCCCGCACCCCCGGCCCGGTCCGGCCCGGCCCGGCCCGCTGCTCGCTGCCCGCTGTCCGCTGCGCCCGGCGGCCGCGCGCCGGGGGCCGCGGGAGGCTCGGGCCGCGGCGTCGGCTGACCTCGGGAAACTGAGTCTGGGCATCAAGGTCAAGGCCGCCCGGCGCGCGGCGCCCCCCGGAGACCCGCCCGGGGCCTCGGCCGCGGGAGTCCGGTCCGGCCCGAGCCGCTGTCCGCGGCCGCCTCCGGGGCCGGCGCCCACGGCCGGCCGGGGAAGCCGCGGGGCGCCCCGGGCGCGGCCGGAGCGCGGGGGTCCCGTCCCCCACCCCACGCCTGGCGCGCGGGACGGCGGGCTCGGGGCGCCCTGGCCGGGCCAGCCACGCCGCCGGGCGGGCGCCTGAAGGGCAGGGAGGCTTCCAAGGTCAGCTGGGCGGGCAGCGCGGCCCCGGCCCTCCCTAGCCCGCCGCTGCCCGCACGCCCCCGGCCGCCGGCGTGCGGGGCTCGGGAGCGCCGGTTCCGCGCGCGTGGAAAGCAGCCGGCGCTTCCCCCCCCCACCCCCGTGCGGGGCCGAGTGGACACTGGTCCGAGGCTGGCCCAGGCGCCCGCCCCTCCCCAGCCTGGGCGGTCTCTGCCGTCCCTAACGTGCAGCCGAGGAAACTGAGGCACAGCGCCAGGAAGTGACGCGCCCAGACAGAGGCCACTCGGGACAGCAGGAGCCGGCCTGACCCCGGAGCCCAGCCCTGACCTCTGGGGCGCGCGTGTGGCCCCCCTCGCTTTTCCTGCCGCCCCCCTGGCCTGAGGGGCCCTGAAGCTCCCAGGTGGGCCGGGCGGGGCAGAGGAGAGTCCGGGAGGGCTGGTCGTGCAGAACCCCTCCCTCGGTAAGGGTGGAGGCGGGGGTCCTTCCTTACATCCTCGCCTCGCCTCCCCCCCTCCCCCCAGTGAAGTCCACTCCCTCCCGCTGTTCTGGTTTTGGGGGCTGGCCACGGAGCCCCCTGCACTTCCCAGCCAGCTCTAGGAGGGGTGCTCCAGGGTCCCGTGGCAGAGCAATGCAGGTTCTGGGCCAGGCCCTGGGTTCGAGCCCCAGCGCTGGATGACCCCTGAACACCATGGTCCACTGTGTGAGGGCGAGGCTCTGAGTGGGTCCCAGCACTGACACCCCCCCCCAAAAAAAAAAACTCCCAACTGCTCGGGATGCGGCTATGTAAAGCACTAACAGTTCTGTGGAGTTGGGGAGAGGGGTCATTCCTGGCGACCCCAGGGCCCAGGAGGGGCGGCTGATGGAACCCGGGCCTTGGCATTCCGGTCCCAGACCATGTGGGGCACATCCTTGGCAGGAAGGAGGCACTCCACAGAAGCCAGCCCGTGTCTGTCTCCCCCACCCCCATACCATGTGGTTAGCTGGGTTCCCGTAGGGCCTTAAACATCTGTGAATGTTTGGAAAGTTCCCGAGTGGCTTGGCTTGTGTTGGCCGAAGCCCCCGGCAAGGCCTGCCAGAGGCGCACACTGACGGGGCTGGGGTTTTAGGAGTGTTGCCCTGGGCGGTGACCAAACCCCATCCACGATGTGGTCCGAGGTGAAATCCCGAGGAATTGTCCCTTGTGCCAATGCCTTCCTTGCCTGGCCGGGATGGCGCCCTGTTTCACCTCTCCAGAAGCTCCTGACGCGGCTTAGTCTGCGTGTCTTGTCTGCGGCCAACCAGCTTTGGGGCCTGCAGTGTCCCCTCGAGTTCTCTGAACCCCGCCGGGAGTGATCCCTAAGCAGAGCCAGGAATGAGCCCTGAGTGGCCCCAAGGCAAAGAACAAAAGGCCTGGTTGGGTCGAGTCAAAGAAGGGCTCCGGAGAGTGCTGTGTGGCCGCTGTCCCCGGCAGGGGCTCTGCGAGAGTGACCGGAGGTGCCCGGTCCTCGCCGCTGGAATGCGCAGGTTCCTGCAGAACTCCATGCGTGGGAGCTGAGATCTGTCACGGAAGCAGGGATTCCACTTGACGTGGCTTAAGTGAGGAGCATGACGGCGCTGTAGTGGCGGAGTGACACGGGTCGTCAGAGATGATGAGTTGGGGCCGCTTGCCTTGCCCACGCTGTCTGAGGTTTGATCCCCGGCACCGCATACGGTCTCGAGTCAGCCACAAGTGATCCCTGAGCACCCACCACCAGATATGGCCTACAAAAGCAAAACAGAAATAAAGATTGGCGTTGGCCGGGGTGAGGGCGGGCAGAGCAGGAGGCCAGGTCGTGCCCGTGCGAGCCCAGCTCTGTTCCCCACAGCACGAAGTCCCCCCTCAACCCTGAGCAAGGCCGGATCGCCCCAGCGGCCTCTAAATCTTCTCATGTCCAGTCGAATCCTCTTCCTTAAGGAACTAACTGGGCAGGACCCCTGGTTCCGCCGGAAGCAGGAATCTCGAAGCAGGGGGCCGTCTGTCCCCTGCTGGGTGGGGTCATGGGCGTCTAATGGAGCCTAGTCAGGTGCATATCAGGGTTTCAAAATCGAATTCATCAGAGATTTCCAAAAATGTACTTGGTGGGCTGGAGAGAGAGTACAGCGACCGGGGCCTTCGGGTGGCTGGCCTGGGTTCAGGTCCCTGGCATCCCATGTGTTCCCCTGGCGGCCACCAGGAGTGATCCCTGAGCGCAGAGCCAGGAGTTAGCCCTGAGTTTTGCCAGGTGTGCCCCCATCCTTCCCAGCCCCCCCCCCCCATAAAACCCTAAAAATGTATTTGGAGATTTCGTCACATAGGTCAGAGGAAATTTTTATACTTCATACTCTGCATAGAGAGTATAGAAGAATCTTCGTACTTTCTATGGATTCTTGTTTTCTTTCGTTTTGGTTTGGGGCTACCAGCGCTTTCGGGGCTGAGCTCAGTGCTCACTCCTGGCAGGGCTCGGGGGACCATATGGGGTGCAGGGTGTCAGCTACAGGCAAGGCGGACGCCCTCCTCGCTGTACTATCTCTCAGTTGCTGGCTCCTTTTCCATCTCTGGCCGCACCTTTGTGGGGGCTCCGGGTTTCGTGCTCGCTGCCCCAAGCAGGGCCCCTCGGCCCAGGCGGTCAGCCTTCTTGTGTCCTGCCTCGGATTCTGCTCTTCTGGGGAAGCAAGTGCAAAAGCAAATTTCGGGAGAACATCTGGGGTTTTGCCGGGGCTGCGGCTTGGGTGGCCAAGTGTCCGCCTTGCATGCGTGAGGTCAGGGTTCGATCCCCGGCCCCTCAAGAGCCCAGACCTGGCAGTTGTGTTTTTCTCGCCTGTGGTGGCTGCGCCGTGTGCGCCTGGTCTTATCACCCCCAAACAGCCATCCTGCCGTACACATCAGCAGTGCCAGCGCTGTGACGCCTCCCCAGGGAGCGGCGTGGTGCCCGCCTGGTGCCAGCTGCTGTTCCTGTTCCCAGCGTGTATCTGTGTGTGTGTGTGTGTGTGTGTGTGTGTGTGTGTGTGTCTGTCTGTCTGTCTGTCGGTCGGTCGGTTGGTTGGTCGGTCGGTCCATCTGTGCTTCGTCAGCGTTGGGAGAGGGCAAGGAGCCCTGGCCTGTGGGCTCACCCCCGGGCGTGGAGCTGTGTGCTTGGGCGTTGCTCAGCTGATGCCTGATGGCTGCGAATTGAGTGTGAGAGAGAGAGCAAGCGAGTGAGCTGGAACCCAGGGCCTTGCCAAGACAGGCAAGTCCTGTCTTGCTGAGCCACCTCCGGGCCTTGTTTTTGTTTTGGGGCCACACCCAGAGGTGCTCAGGGCTGGCTGCTGGCTCGGTGCTCAGGGAATCCCGTGGGATGCTGGGATTGAACCCAGGTCCACCTTCTCCCTCCCCTCTTCTGTTCAGGCTTAACTGGAGCATGAAGGCGGGTCAGCAGCCCCGTTCCGAGCTGGGGGGTCTCACCCATCAGTCTGGGGCCTGTGTGTGCAGCAGGATGCATGGGCCCAGGCTGCAAACCCAGCACTGTAAGGTGTGACCCCCCAAAGTGCAACACGGAACAGCTGTCCCATCCCAGGGTGTCCGGGAAGGCTGCGTGGCCGCCGTTCAAAGCAGGATTTTCAGACCATTGGCGGTGCCACCCTCGGGGCTGGTTCTGGGGCACATCAGCACCCCCAGGCCCATGTGGGGACAGGCCCTGCTGGGGGGCAGGGTGTTGGGAGGGGGAGGAAGTAATGCCGGAGGTTGGCATCCTGCCCGCACTGACCAGTGCTCTTCCTTGGGCAAATCATAAGCAAATCGTAAGCAAAAAAGGTGCAGGTGTGGCCCTTGGGGACGGCGTCCTGCCTGCTCGGGCATCACCTGAGTCCCAGATCACGGGTGGACGTTTGCGTCTGCCTTCCCGGCACACTGCTTTGGGTTCAGAATCTGTAGTTCTGGGCTAGTTCCCTGCCAAAGGACAGTTTCTGTCCTGAGCCCCACCCCTGGGAGCTGGATCTGAGTGGAGGGCTGGAGCAGGGCCCAGGAAGACCCTGGGACAGCGGTGTCTGGGATGCAGGCGGCTTTGTGGGGTGCTGGGGGATGACTGTGCTGTGCTCCAGACCCCTGGCCAGCTCCAGGGTCGTGACTGGCCAGCACCACGATGTTGGAGGTGAAACTGAGTTTTCTTGAAGGAGCTCTAGGTAATTGCTGCCTGTCAGCTTCGGGCATTTGGGCATTCCCGGCCGATGCTCCTTCTTGAACGTGGAATGCCCGCTTCCGCGCTACTGGCCAGAAGACCGTTGGGTGTTTTCTTCTCGCAGAGAGAGCTGAATTGAAAGTGCTTGCATTGCCTTAAGTTCAGAAGCAGAGCAGTGAAGGTTTGGCTTGGCTGCAGAATTTCACTGTTGCCTTTGACTACACTTCGCTTTCCTCTTCGCTTTTGTATTTTACTGAACCCGACCTTGTTTGAGAAAGGACGTAAGGAGCTGGGGAGATAGTACAGTGACTAGGGTGCTAGCCTTGCACGGCCGACCCAGGTTTGATCCCCGGCATCCCATATGGTCCCCTGAGCACCGCCTGGATGGAGTAAGTAATTTCCTGAGTGCAGAGCCTGGATAACCCCTGGGTGTAGCCCATAAACCAGAAAAGGGGTTAGGATTTAAGACAGCTCAGAGACGAGTGAACGGGGACCTGGAGCGGTAATAAGACAGCAGGGGACACTCACCTCGCAGCCTGCTGACCCGGGTTCAGTCCCCGGCACCCCAAGCCCTCCAGGAGTGATTCCTGAGTGCTTAGCAAAGAGAAACCCCTGAGCACTGCTCGGTGTGGCTCCGAATTTTAAGGAAAAGAGAGATGAGTGAGTGAACAGCATACGGGATGCGGGGCACCGAGTGTGGTCAGCTGTGTGCAGGAAGGGCCTGCCACCGAACTGTCGTTCCAGCCCTCTTCGATGTAATTTTTTAGCATTTGTCACCCCCCCCCCCCCACGTTTGGCTGTGCCCATAGTTTCAGAGCAAGCCCGTCCGGCTGGAGAGTGAGTTCAGGCCTCGAGCACCTCGGGGGGCGTTGGGAGAAACGTCCCGCTCAATGCCCAGTGAGTTGGTGGCCGGGCTCTGCTCTTTTGGCTCTGAGGTGAGGGGGGCACCGTGTCCTGAGAGACCCCTTTCAGGTTGGTAGGTGCCGGGCGCATGGTCAGCCTTGGGGACAGGGGGATGCAGCCCAAGGCGGGGCACTCGCCTGGCACCAGCAGACCCTGCTGTGGTCCCCTGAGCACCGCTGGGCGTGTCCCGGAAACCATAAAAGTCAAATTAAGAGAAGGGGCGGTGCGGAGCTCTGCAGTCTGGTGTCAGCGGGCTCACGGCGTCTCCGGCTGGGCCTGACCCTCCGCGCCCAACTCTGCCAGGGATGGAAGAGGAGGGCTCGAGGGTGCTGCCCAACCGGCCCCGGGGACAGGCCCCCTGACATCACATCAGGGTGTCATGGGGTGTCGCCCCTTCATGCCTTTCCGTGAATCGGGCTCCAGAGCGCTTTTCTGCGTGTGGCTTAAGTCACTGTTGGGGTCTGACCTGGAATGGCCACAGACGAGCTGCCCAGTGCCAGCCCTGGCCGTGTCTCTTTCCTGGACAGCACGGGCACAAGGTCGCCGTCGGCCTTCCAGGAAAGGGAGCATGTGTCCGACCTCTGTGAAGTGATGGGCAAATGGGACAGGCAGAGCTCAGCCAGTTAGCTCAGGCCCGGAAGCAGCAGGCGGGATGGCACCGTGGGGACGCTTGTCTTGGCTGCCGCCCTCCAGGGTCCGAGTCCCAGAGCCGGGAGTAACACCCCTGAGCATCACTGGGACTTGGTGTTGGTCTCGACCCAGGAGGGTTCTCTCTGGCCAGAGTGAACCGGGAAGGCTCTGAGCCTGGACTCGGGGGGAAGTGCCGGTGGCCCTGGCCACGTGGACGGTCCCGGCCTCACAGCCTCGCGCTTCTCTGCTCGCTGGGCTCTCGCAGAAGCAATTCATCAGAGAACCAGCCAGTGAAACCTCAGGCACCCACACACACACCCGTGTGCACACGCATGCACACGCTCCAGAGGAAACTTCGAGGCCCGTTCACATGCCGCGATTCCATCGCCTTGGTCAGTGGGGGAGCTGCTGGACCCCACAGACAGTGCAGTGCCCGGGCCGGGGGGGTCCCAGCCAGACAGGCCTGGAGGAAGGAGGGGATACTTGGAAGAGGAGACCAGAAGGAAAAGTCAGCAGTTCAGAATCGGGGTCTGGACCCCAAGCGATAGCACAGCCGGGTGGGCGCTGGCCTTGCACACGGCCGACCTGGGTTTGATCCCTGGCTCCCCGTGTGGTCCCCCGAGCCCCGCCAGGAGCAATTCCTGAGTGCAGGGCCAGGAGTTCGCCCTGAGCCTCACTGGGGTGTGACCCAACATCCCCCTCAGCACCACCAAGAAAAAAATAAGGAAGCAAAAATTTTGTATCCCGCTGGGACATGAGAGTGAGAAAACCTTCATGAAAGTGAAAATTAAGAGATTCAGGGCCTGGAGGGGGTGGGGCGCTGGGTGAGTCTGGCCCCCTGCACCTTGGCGCGGGCCGCGAAACCCTGTCCCCGCAGAACTGCCCCATGCCTTCTCCCTGCTGGTGGCGACACTTGGATTTCCTGGCGTGGGTCTTGCCTGCACCAGCGCGGCTCAGTAGCCCGAGTGTGTACAGGCATGATAAGTCTCTTTGTTTGGGGCCACACCAGGTGGTGCTCAGGGAGCACTCCTGGCTCCAAGCTCAAGGAGCACTCTTTTTTATTTTTTTCTTTTTGGGTCACGCCCGGTGATGCACAGAGGTTACTCCTGGCTCTGCACTCAGGAATCGCTCCTGGCAGTACTCAGGGGACCCTATGGGATGCTGGGAATCGAACCCGTGTCAGCCGCGTGCAAGGCAAATGCCCTACCTGCTGTGCTATTGCTCCAGCCCCTCAGGGAGCACTCCTGGCAGGGCTCGGGACCTGACGGGCCGTGGCGAGACCAGCGCCCTCCCCACATCGCCGGCCCCCCTGGTACCGTTTAAAAGTTGAGCTAGAGGCGTGCGTTGGTTTTCTGATGGTCTGGGATTGTCAGCTTCATCTTCTCTGGGTTCCCCCTCTGGCTGGTGCTGGGCAGGGGGTGGGGTGCTGGCCTCCTGCTGGCGTTGCTCAGGGGCCCCCTGCGGTGCTGGGCACTCACCCAGGCTCCCATATGTCCAGCCGTTTCCCGGCCCGGTGTCTCGTTGTTCAAAGTTTTCCTGTCTCCGATTTGAAAGGCCGGGCATCGACGGTGTGTCCTTCGTCAGCAGCCGGTTCGGCGCCCGGCGTTTCCAATACAGAGTGTTCTTGTCTCCGCGCTCTCTGTGGCGACGTCTCCTGACGTCCTTCCCGTCGCCAGCGCCGGCAGCAGCATTTCCCAGCCAGACCCACAGCTGTCCCTGTGCAGCATCGGTCACCTAATCGGGGGGAGAGGCCGTGCGCAAGTACTAACGCGGGGCTCTGTCGTGTCCCGGAGGGAGAGAGCAGATGCAGTGCAAGTGGCAGAGTGACAGGATTTCAGTGACCCCGAGTCTCTCTAATCGGGTTTGTGTCTCCGCAGGCCACCTCCGAGGAGCTGAAGGCCGCCTACCGCCGGCTGTGCATGCTCTACCACCCCGACAAGCACCGGGACCCCGAGCTCAAGAGCCAGGCCGAGCGCCTCTTCACCGCCGTGCACCAGGCCTATGAGGGTGCGCATGGGGGGGCGCGTCGCGGGGTCCTGGTCTCTGGCCATGCAGGGACCAGCTCTCAGCGGGGTGGGGCAACGGGGTTAGAGACCCCAGGCACAGAGGAGCTGCCCCCTCTCGGGACTGGGCACGAGAGCAGTTGTTCTGTTGTTGGGGGATGTTGGTTTGGGGACCACACCCGGCAGTGCTCAGAACTGGCTCCCGGCTCTGTCCTCAGGAATCACTCCCGGTGGTGCTCGGAGTCAAACCCCATCAAAGGCCCGACACCCCTCCCGCCCCCCCCGCATATCACTCTGGCCCCATTCGGGTTTTTTTGTTTTGTTTTTTTTTTGTTTTTTAATCTGAACATGATGTTGCCAGTTCTGTTGCCTCCGGGTAGGAAAAAGTTCTATCTTGCCATAGAAAAAAGATTTTCAGAACACTAAATAGGAGGTAGAGTTAAAGAATCTCAATTTTTATGCCCTTATGTTTGAGAAAGAAAGTTTTATGATCTGTTGTTTATTAGACACTAAGAATCACTTAGGTCCAGTGTGTCTGGGACGTCTAAAAGTTCGAGAAATAGAGGCTAGAGAGATAGTACAGTGGGTAGGGCGTTTGACCCGGGTTTAATGCCCAGCATCCCATATGGCCATCCTGGTGGACCCTGCCCAGAGCCAGGAGTCAGCCCGAGCTTGTTGGGTGGAAGTTCCAGAAACAGCCAGTGGTGGCGCCAGTGAGTCATGAGCTCCTGGGGTGCCTCTGTGCTGTGGACTGAGACTCCTGATGCTTTTAGGTTATGAATGTTGGACCGCAGTGGCACTTGGGTGTGTTTCTTTTGAGGGGCCCTGCCAGGGGTGCTTGGGAGCTCTGAGGGGGGCCCTGATGACTCAGCCGGCCGGGCCTGCTGAGGTGCTGCTGCCCAGGAGTGCTGGGGTTCCTCAGGTGCTCGGGATCAGACGGCACCCGGCACGCACCCTGACTGCCAAGCTGTCTCCTGCAGTCACGGGTGTTTTTTTGGTTTGTTTTTGTTTGTATTTTAGCTTTCTGGGTCACACCCAGTGATGCTCAGGGCTTCCTCTTGGCTCTGCGCTCAGGAATCACTCCTGGCAGTGTTCGGGCACCATATGGGATGTCGGGGATCGATCCCAGGTCAGTTGTGTGCAGGGCAGACGCCCTCCCCACTGTGCTGTCCCTCCAGGCCCATCGCCACTGCTTTTTTAATAAGACATTTTTAATGTGAGGGGCGGACCAGGCCGAACCGAGTTCGATTCCTCCACCCCTCTCGGAGAGCCCGGCAAGCTACCGAGAGTATCTCGCCCGCACGGCAAAGCCTGGCAAGCTCCCCGTGGCATATTCGATATGCCAAACACAGTAACAACAAGTCTCACAATGTTACTGGTGCTGCTCGGGCAAATTGATGAACAGCAGGAGGACAGTGACAATGATTGTGCGAGGCTGGAGCGAGAACGCAGAGGTCACGGTGCCGTCCCGTGTGTCACTGAAGTCCAACCTCGCACTCGCTTCTCCAGGTCCCCCTTGCTGTGACTCAGCAACAGCATTTAAGGGGGCGGGGCTCTGGCACATGGCCAAACTGGGTTCAATCCCCTGCATCCCCTAAGGTCCCCCGAGCACTACCAGGAGTAAGTAACCCCCAATTAAAGACCAAACTTTAGATAATAGGTTTCTTTACCGAATAAAGAGCCATCTTAATGTGAGGGCCAGTGCTCTGCCGCGGCTTTTCACCAGAGGGCGTTTTCACTGCCCAGCCAGCTCGGGCCACTGCCTGGGACCTGTGCCCTGTGGCCAGGACAAGTTCCCTCCCTGCTGTATACTCCAGCCCCAGTCTGGGTCCCCTTCAGAACCTCTGTCCTCCTGTCACTTAGACAGGAGAAAGCCCCGTCCCCACTCTGGGGGAGGCTGGCTGAGCCAGGAGGGGACCATTGGCTGCTCATGTCACGCTCATGTCTGGTTTCTCTTGGCAGTGCTCAGTGACCCCCAGACCAGGGCCATCTATGACATCTACGGGAAGAGAGGCCTGGAGATGGAAGGGTGGGAGGTAAGCGCCGAGCTGTTGAGGGAGTCACGGCCTGTGGTGTCCTGGGCGTGGGGGTGGGCATGGCCTGGGACCTTCAGTGGTCGCAGCATCTGGGCTTCCTGTGGGGGAGGTGGGTGATCGGGTTCCACTGGGCCAGGCTATGCCCTCCCGGGCCCCCACAAAGATGTGCCATGTGATGGCGGGCATGGTGGGCGCCTCGGGGTTGAGGTCGTGAGACTCACTTTGTCACGGGCAGACCCGCAGTCTCAGCCCTGTCACCAAATCTCCCTCACTGCTTCTGCCCACGGCGTTTCCGTGGGCGATTCGCCTTCCCGTCGGCATTCACTGGGTCCTGGCACCTCAAGACAGGCCTGTCCCCACGTCCCCTCCAGTTCTGGCCACCGTGGGGCTGTGGCCAGCAAAAGGCAGGCAGTCTCATTGCACAGAAGTCCAGTCTTTTTTTTTTGGGTCACACCTGACGATGCACAGGGGTTACTCCTGGCTCATGCACTCAGGAATTACTCCTGGCGGTGCTCAGGGAATCCTATGGGATGCTGGGAATCGAACCGGGGCCGGCCGCGTGCAAGGCAAATGCCCTCCCCACTGTACTATCACTCCAGGCCCCAGAAGTCCAGTCTTGAGAGCTCAGATGTGGTGGCATGGCTGAGTCCCATGAGGTGCCCAGCTGCATCCGAGGAGCCAGCCCTTGGCACCGACTCCTGGCCCGCCCCTATCTCGCCCCATACCTCGGGCCTCTGGGAGCAGCCCCCACCCGACCCCCTTGTGACCCATTAGTGCTAAGCATTTGTGCGCCCATCAAGGAGCCTGGTGTCCTATTGGGACCCCTGCATCCCTGCCTCTCCCCAACACTCTTTGCAGAGTCTGTGCGCTTGATTCTGAGGGCGCGGGGAGGGACGGCCTCTGCCCCCGCACCCCACGGCAGCCCTGTGACAGTCAAGTGGCCCCCGTAGGACTCGCCAGGCAGCACGGTGGCACAGCACTCTGTCTTCTGTCTGTCACTGAAGCTTCCCAGGAGGGGCTGCGAGAAGAGCCCCCCCAAGCACAGGACTTCCGTGCAGGGGGCCGGGGTTCCATCCCGGCTCCACTAGGGGTGACCCCCAAGTGGCAGAAGCAAACGCTGTCTCCCCAGATCTTGATGAGACGCCTCAGGTCTTAGCTGACGGCGCTTAGCTGCCGCTGCATGCGGCTCTTCTGTGAAATCCTGCCCCATGGGGCAGCGCTAGTGACCACTCCCTGCCCCCAGCCGCCACGGGCCCAGCTGTCCCGGTGCTGGAGGCAAAGTACTTCCCAGATTTCGTCAAACACTGGCCGTGTTTCCTGCCTTTTTTTTTTTTCTCACCATCAAGACCCTTTGATTTTCTCTGGCAGGGTCACCAAGGCTGAGATGGCCCCATGTCCAGCCTGGCACCTGCCGTGTGGTGTCCGAGTGGGTAGCAGTGAATGGGCAGGCCTGGGCCCCCGGCCAGTGCACACGCCCATCCTTCACGTGTCTCCACCCCTTGACCCGTCTCAGGGCGCCACCTACTTTGGGGGCTCTCATATGGTCGGGCTGGGATGGCAGCAGCAGGTGGCCCAACCCTCAGGATAGAGGTGGCACGGGGCAGATCCCAAGTCTGCTCTGCCTCTCGGTCTCTCGGTGCCAAAGTCAGGCGGGTTCCCAGTGTGACGGGTGACCCATGGGACACATGCCCATAGCACCTGCAGTGACTCTTGGGCAGTGCAGTGCGAACGTTTCTGAGGTTAGTTCAAAATAGAGACTGGTGGGCCAGAGCGATAGCACAGCGGAGTGGGCGTTTGCCTTGCACGCAGCCGACCCAGGTTCGATTCCCAGCATCCCCTATGGTCCCCGAGCACCGCCAGGAGTAACCCCTGAACATCGCCGGGTGTGACCCAAAAAGCAAAAAAAAAAAAAAGAAGACTGGCTCAGACTTCAGGATTGTTCAGCCTGACATCAGGACCTGGAGGCTCTCGCCTGCGCCCAGGCTTCTGTCCTCCTGTGTGCCGTCCACTGTGGTCAGAAGCCTTCGGCTCCTGGTGGCCCCGGGCAGGGATGCCGAGAGCTCGGGTGGGATGGAAGCCGCCTTGCGAGGTGCTGACGTGCCGTGGAGTCGGGGTCCCCGATAAAGGCTCAGTGCCGGCCCTGCGAGTTGGGGGAAGCCCAGCTGGGCCAGTGTGTGGCCCCTGCAGTCAGCTGGCCGTCCTGGACACTAGGGACCCTGGGGACGCTCAGGGCTGGGTCCCTGCAGCCTCTTCCCATCTCTCCCCTCAACAGGCCCCTCATGGGGCCTCCCGGACTCTTGCAGTTGCCCACTGGGCTGAGGGGCGGCAGGGGGGCGAGATTCCGAGGCCCGAGGGGCCTGAGCATGTTCTCCCCGACTGCCCGCAGGTGGTGGAGCGGAGGAGGACGCCCGCAGAGATCAGGGAGGAGTTCGAGCGTCTGCAGAGAGAGCGGGAGGAGAGACGCCTACAGCAGCGCACCAACCCCAAGGTGAGTGGCGCCCGGTTGGCACCAACCCCCCAGGTGGCAGCGCCCTAGCCGATCAGCACCCCTAGATGGGTAATGCCCCCAGATGGGCAGCGCTCCCGTGAGGTGGTGGCAGCAATGCCGGGTGACAGTGGTCGGGGTCTGGAGTATCCGTCCCAGGGCGGCCAGCAGGCTGCTGCCCTGGTCTGGAAAGCGTGTGCTAACCACAATGTGCCGGAAACTTCTGAGCCCTGAGGGGACCCAGCCTTTCACCCGGAGCACAGAGGCCCTGGCTGCTGTGACGATGGGACGACGCTGTCTTCTCGGCCTTGAACAGGGTCTCCGGGGTCTCTGTTACCTGAGACGGCAAGGCTGTGGGACAATCCCAGGAACTATGGCACAGTGAGGTGACCCTCAAACTCCCCAACCCCTGGGACACAAGCCTTGCCTTTCCCCTTTGGTCTGTGGGGAAACTTGCCACGTGAGCGTCCAGCGGCCGCCGGGCCCAGGTGCTCATCAGAAGGTGCTCGTCTGTCTGGGTAGCGAGAGGATGCAGCAGGTGCTCTCCGTGTGGGCAGGATCTTGCCGTTCCTGCCTCACACCTGGTGGCTTCCTGAGCTGCAGCACCCCTGGGTGGGACGTGGGGGCCTGGCTTGGCTGGGGTCCTGCGACAATGGGGTGCCCCGGAGGGGAGGGAAGAGGCAGAGCCACAGGGCTTTGTGGGCGCCTGGGCTGGCGGGGACAGGCCCCGGGGGTGACGGCAAGTGTCCTGGTCTCCCGGGCCAGAGGCAGCCTCTGGCATCCATTAGTGCTGCTATGCGTGAAGGTGACCGGGCCAGCTGCTGGGGGGGGGTGCCCAGGGGCTCCTCCAGGCGTGGGCAGCCAGCTCTCACCCACCGTGCCCGCCCACCACGCCCGCTGGTTTCTGGTTCAATCGGTTTAACCAACGCTCTAGTCTTGGCAACTGAAGGTCCAGTTAGGAAAGTCATTGGGGGCGGGGGGGGGGAACTGCCCAGGGGTCCTTCTGGGGTACTTCTGGTGCACGGTGCCAGGGGTGGACCTCGGTCAGCCTTCTGGGGGCCAGCGCCTCACCTGTCCTGTCTCTCCTGCCTTGGTACCCCTCACCCACTGTCATTTGTGACCGAGAAACCGAGGGAGTTGCCACAGTGCTGGGCTCGAGTCGACTTGGCCCTCACCCTGTGAACCGGCCCCGACCTGGCACAGACAGTCCCTGTTGGGCAGGACAGGAATCAGTGTCAGGCAGGCAGGGGCGATACAGCGCTAAGAGGGGCCCTTACCGCATGGTCAGTGTCCAGCCCTTACCACGTAGGCCTGGCACCGTGTGGTCAGTGTCGGGGTCCAGCCCTGGTGCTCCCCGTGGACCCTGGGCATCCCATCTCTTGCCCTCCAAGGAGCCTGGCACCTTGAGTAGGAGAGCGAGGTGTGCAGTGCTGGAGAGACGCAGGCTCGGGAGTGGGTGACGCCCGGACCCGGGGTTGCTCTTGCCTCTAGTGATTTTGTCTGGGGGTGGCTGCGGTGCGGGTCCCTCCGAGGAGGCCTTCGAGCCCAGGATCCCGGCAGCCGGGAACCGTCTCAGGGTCCTCGCCAGGTTCCTCTGCTTTTCCTGCCAAGTTCCCGTGTGACCAGCCTTCCTCTAGAAGCTGGACTTGCCTCTTCTAGGAGCTTATTATTATTATTATTATTATTATTGTTATTATTATTGTGTTGAATCGCCATGAGCTACAGTTACAGAATTTTCATGTTTGAGGTTCAGCCATACAGTGATCGAACACCCACCTTACACCAGTGCACATTCTCCACCACCAGTGTCCCCAGTTATCCCCCCATCCCAGGGGAGCCTTTTACTTGAAGGGGGCAGTGAGGCGCAGTTAAGAGCCAAACCCGTCTTGGCACATAGAGAAGAAACGCTGTGCCTGGGCAGAGCATGTTCCCAAGGTCATTTCCTTGTAGAGGTAGAGCGGCTGTGGGCCTCCATCCGTGACTCCTCGGAAATGTGCCCAGAAACGCCCCGTCAGCTCGGTGGCTGGCGGCCTGCGCCCATCCCCGGCAGCCACCCTGCTCTGCTTCGGGGCTCACGGGCCTCCAGCCTTTCTTGGCTTGTTTGGGAGCCGTGCTTGGCTGTGCTCGGGGCTTACAGTGTGGGGGCTGGGGGTGGAACCCGGGTGGGCTGTGCGCCAGGCAGGTGCCTCCCCACGGTCCTGGGGCAGCTTCTAAGGGGCGGCTCCTCCTGAGGCTAGTCACCGGCGTGCCAGGGACCCTGCTGAGTATTTACTGCTTCCAGGACTTTCTGAGACAGGAAAGTCAGACCACGCAGCGAGGCACCCTGAAGTTTCGGCCGATGGCAGGTGACAGTGGTGTGTCCCATTGAGAACTCAGCAGGGAAGCAGGGACGCTCCCCCGCGCCCACCACCCTGCTTGCTGTGCCCACCCACCCGGGCCAGGCCACTCTCTGCTGTGCTGTCTTGCCCACGGGGCCGTGCTGTTAGCTCCTCCAGCCTGACTTCTGGAGCACGACACTGTTAAAAGTAGCTAAAATCAGGCTGGAGCAAGAGCACAGCAGGGAGGGCGTTTGCCTTGCACGCGGCCAACCCAGGTTCGATTCCCAGCATCCCATGTGGTCCCTTGAGCACCACCAGGAGTAACTCCTGAGTGCAGAGCCAGGAGTAACCCCTGTGCATTGCTGGGTGTGACCCAAAAAGCAAAAAGCAAAAATAAAAGAAAATAAAGTAGCTAAAATCAGGCTGTAGCGATACTGCAGTGGGTTAGCTGTTTGCCTTCGACCTGGGTTTGAAGCCCGGCATCCCATATGGTCCCCTGAGCACCACCAGGAGTAATTCCTGAGTGCAGAGCCAGGAGAAACCCCTGAGCATCGCCGGGTATGACCCAAAATGCCACCCAGAAAGCTAAAATCACGTGGTTTTCCCAACTGCTTGCTGATCCGTACTATGTCACCGGATCACTGTCATCCCATTGTTTGTCGATTTACTTGAGCGGGCACCAGTAATGTCTCTACTCATCCCAGCCCTGAGATTTTAGCAGCCTCTCCTTACTTGTCTTTCCCAACGATTGGAGGCTTTTTCAGGGTCGGGAATGAGACCTGTTAGTTTTGGTATATCGAATGCGCCCCAGGGAGCTTGCCAGGCTCTACCTATGTGGGCGGGATACTCTCAGTATCTTGCTGGGCTCTCCGAGAAGCATATATTTATATATTTCCCTCTATGATTTGTTGCCTACTGTCTGAACTCCATCAGACATGGTGTGGTAATTATGGAAAATTGTGTAGAAGTGTCTTTTGATGCTTCGCGGCCAGACAGTCAGGAAAGCGGCCTGGAACGTGGCGGCCGTTGGGTACTGGAGGTCGGCTGCTGGGGCTGGGTCCCTTGGGGTGGGGAGGGCTCTAACCCGCATCCCCCCCCCCCCCGGGGTGCCTGGCTCAGAGTCCGGTGGCATGGTTATGGGGACCTAATTTTATACTTCCATCTGGGAGGAGCAGCCATGAGTTCTGGAGAGTGGTCAATGAGAAAATTTTGCTCGAGCGGGCCCAGTAACGTCTCCATTGGAGACTTTGTTGTTACTGTGTCTGGCATATCGAATACTCTCGGTAGCTTGCCGGGCTCTCCGAGAGGGGCGGAGGAATCGAACTCGGGTCAGCCATGTTGGCCGTGTGTAAGGCGAATGCCCTACCCGCTGTGCTAATTACCTGGTGCTTTATGGGTGTGACTCCTGGGTCACCGGAGACTAGGGAAAGCAGGCAGAGGATCTCTGCTCCCGGGTCCGTTGAGCCCAGAGTTCAAGGTCACAAAGTTCCGCATTACCTGGGTTCCATGGGACTTCACTCCTGCGTGAGAAATATTATGCTGAAAACCTCTCAGAAGTTTATTTACCAACTTCCTCAAAGAGAAAATACTTTCAGGGCTGGCCTTATACGCAAAAAGGTCACTGGCTTTGCAACTAACTGGGTTTGACCTCCAGCTTCCATATGGTCCCCTGAGTGCAGAGCCAAGGGTAAGCCCTAAGCACCACTGGTTGAGTGACCCAGAGTTAAAAACAAAACAAAAAAAAGGTAAACTTTTCTCCCATGATGTTGGAGTAACAGCACAGCGGGGAGGGCGTTTGCCTTGTACGTGGCCAACCCGGGTTCGATTCCCAGCATCCCATATGGTCCCCTGAGCACCACCAGGGGTAATTCCTGAGTGCAGAGCCAGGAGTAACCCCTGTGCATCGGCGGGTGTGACCCAAAAAGCCAAAAAAGAAAAAACCCAGAAACAAATAAAACCGTTTAGAATGGGGCTGGGGGGGTGACCCAAAAAGGGAGGAGACGTTACTGGGGCCTGCTCGAGGCAATCGATGATTAACAGGATGATTTGTGATTTGTGAGAATGGGGCTGGAGCAATAGCACAGCGGGTATGGTGTTTGCCTTGCGTGCAGCCAACCTGGGTTTGATTCCCAGCATCCCATATGGTCCCCTGAGCACCGCCAGGAGTAACTCCTGAGTGCAGAGCCAGGAGTCACCTGAGTATTGCCAGGGGTGACCCAAAAAGGAAAAATACATCAAAATTAAAAAACTGTTTCCTCCCAGAAATGGGCGTGTGTGTGGGAACCAACCTGCAGCCCCATGCGAGACGCAGACGGGGGATCCCAGATTCAGCCCCGGCACCAGCCCCGTCTTCTTGTGCCTCTCATGCGACAGTGGTGCCTCATCAGCGTCCTGTGTCACCCGTCCAGTGCCGCCCACTGGAAGGGAGCAGGGCCTGAGAGGGATACAGGTGCGCGGAGGCCAGAGAGGCGGTGCAGTGGGCAGGGACTCGCCTGCACACAGCCAACCTTGGCTCCGTCCCTGCACACGGCCCGCCCCACAGGGCATGTCACAGCCGTTCCCCGGCCTGTCCCGCGCGTGTGCGGCTGGCGGCCCTTCTTGCCAACTGTTGGGACCCCTGGCCCAGAGTTGGGTTGGCTATGGGGTCTGGCGGTGCTCTGTGCCCCACGGCTGCTGACAGTTGGTTTCCTGTGCAGGGGACCATCAGTGTCGGCGTCGATGCCACGGACCTGTTTGATCGATACGAGGAGGAATACGAGGACGTGTCCGGGAGCGGCCTGCCGCAGATCGAGATCAACAAGATGCACATCTCCCAGTCCATCGAGGTGAGGCTGGCACCATCTGTGCATGCAGGGCTGAGGGCCTGAGTGCGCCTGTGGGTGCAGGGCTGAGGGCCTGAGGGCGTCTGTCCATGCAGGGCTGGGGGCCTGAGGGTGTCTGTGGGTGCAGGGCTTGAGGGCCTGAGCGCACCTGTAGGTGCAGGGCTGAGGGCTAAGCACGCCTGTGGGTGCAGGGCTGAGGGCCTAAGGGCGTCTGTGTGCTGTCAGCCCTTCAGCCTCCATGTCCTCTCGCAGCCTGCATGTGTGTCGGGGTCTGGGGAGCAGCAGGGCTCCGCGGGTGGTTTCCAGCAGGGTCTCTGGGAAGCCGCTCGATGCCCTGGTGGTCGCCTTCTCCTGAGCCGCCCCCCTGGCCTTGTTCATTCTCAAGTGCATCGGCCTGGAGCCTCACATGCCACCTGGGTAGCCCCAGTGGGGACCCCGACCACGCACAGCCAGCGTCACCCCGGTTACACTGTGGCTCTGAAACGTGCTCTTAAAACTTTAGACCCGGGGCTGGATCAATCGCACAGCTTGGGGGGGCGCTTGTCTCGCACTCAGCCACCCGAGGTTTGATCCTGGCATCTCATACAGTCCCCTGAGCACCACCGGGAGGCCAGGAGTAAGCCCTGAGCATTGCTGGTGCCCCCCACCCCCCAAAGAAAAATGTGAACACTTCCACCGGGCAGGACATGGGCGCCGCCTCCTGCCCTTCCCGCCCTCATGCAGCCCCTGTATCCCCAGGCGCCCCTAACCGCCACCGACACAGCCATCCTGTCGGGAAGCCTGTCCACCCAGAACGGCAATGGCGGAGGCTCCATCAACTTGGCCATCCGGCGGGTCACCTCAGCCAAGGGCTGGGGAGAGGTAAGGACATCGAGACCAGGGCCAGTGCCCGTCATCGTGCAATGGCTGGGCCCTGGGCCGGCCCTGGTTGCTGTCGGCTCACAGTCCCAAGGGATTAACTGACAGAGAGGCTGCATCTGCTCACGGCTCAGCATTCAGGGTCAGCCAATCAGGGCAGTGCTTCTGGGCCACACCACCTTATCATCAAAATATTATTAAGAAGCAAATCGTAGGGCAGGGGAGCGATAGTACATTGGGGAGGGCGTTTGCCTTGCATCGGCCGACCCAACTTCAATTCCCGGCATCCCATATAGTCCCCTGAGCACCGCCAGGAGTGGTTGCTGAGTGCAGAGCCAGGAGTAACCCCTGATCGCTGGGTGTGACCCAAAAATGTAAAAAAAAAAAAAAAAAAATGTCGGGGCCAGAGAGGACGGCAGAGATGCCCAGCCTCACCGACAGCTTGCTCAGGTTCAGTTCCTGGCACTGTATCCAAGGGTCACCCCGAGCACCGCTGGGTACGGCCCCCAAACAGCAACAAAACAAAACAAACTCACTCTGGGGCCCTGGATCCAGTCAAGGCGCTGCGAAGATGGTGGCATAGGACTCGCACCTGCTTGCGATAGAAAGCCCTAGAAAAGCCCGAGCACAGCCGCTCAGGCCCAGTCTCCGCGGCCAGTGGGCCCAACCACGGTTCCCATGACGCTTCATCACCCAGGGGACCTGGGGCCAGGGATGCCCAGCTCTGCAAGGAGCAGCACAGCCCTCTGACTGTGCTGGGCAGTGTCCAGCCCTGTGCTGAGACCCCCGCCAGACCCCTTCCTGCTCGTCCCCCTCCCTCCACTCATTCCTTTTCCTTTCCTCTTTGCAACAGTTGGAATTTGGGGCCGGGGATCTCCAGGGACCTTTGTTTGGTCTCAAGCTCTTCCGGAATCTCACGCCCAGATGGTAAGTGTGAGGGAACCCCTGTGCCTCGGGGTGGGGGTGGGGGGCAGCCAGCGGCCCCCTCCGCACGCAGCCCGGCCGTGCCTGGTGGGTTGCTGAGACGTGGGGACACAGGGGATGCTGCCAGGGCCTCACCTTCTGTCTCAGGATGTGCAGCTGCCCCCTCGCTGCCCAGGGGCTGGGGGACACGGGGCCCTACCCTCCAGTCTGTGGACAGTGGGTGCGGGTGCAGCCCGTGCAGGTGGGGGTGAGGGGGGCCCCTGGCCCTGCACCCCTTCTCACTCCTCCCCGCAGTAATTAGGGATCACAGCAGAGCACGGGGTGATGGTGGTGGGAGTGAGTCACTGTCCATCCGTCCCGCCCGAGCTCAGCCTGTGCTTGCACCCAGCTCCTTGGTAGCTCCCGGGCACGGTGGGAGGCGCCTTCTGGGGGCCTTGGGTCTGCTCCTCTGATGGACAGGCTCGGGGCTGGCTCTGCCCCCGTCCTTGGGTGCTGCGGGCAGAGGGAGGGGGTGGGAAAACGGAGCTTAGGGGTGATGACACGTTGGGAGGAAAGTGGCCCCCAGGGCTGCGGCTGCTGGGCTGTGCCGGGCACCACTCCTTCTCACCAGCAGGTGGCGCGCGCTCCCAGGGAAGCCGCCTCCAGGGCCCCCTGCCAGCCCTCCTCTGCATAAGGCTCTGGACAAGGGGCTCCAGACAAGGGGCTCTGGATAAGGCTCTGGATAAGGGGTTCTAAATAAGGCTCTGGATAAGGCTCTGGGCAGCACGGGAGCCCGGGCCGGCGGGGAGCAGTGAGCAGCCCGCCTCTGCCCCCAGCTTTGTGACGACCAGCTGTGCGCTGCAGCTCTCGGCGCGGGGCGTGCGGCCGGGCCTCACCACCGTGCTGGCCCGCAACCTGGACAAGAACACGGTGGGCTACCTGCAGTGGCGCTGGGGCATCCAGTCGGCCATGAACACGAGCATCGTCCGCGACACCAAGACCAGCCACTTCACCCTGGCCCTGCAGGTGAGCCGGGGCCGGGCGGGCGCGGGCGCGGGGCGGCCCGGGCTGCCGGGGCCTAGCTGAGGCCCCTCGGAGCCAGCGGCCTGTCCCCGTCTCCCCCATCAGCTCGGGGTCCCCCACTCCTTCGCCCTGATCAGCTATCAGCACAAGTTCCAGGACGACGAGCAGACGCGCCTCAAGGGCTCCCTGAAGTGAGTGACGGGCGAGGGGCGCGGGTGGGGGGGTGGGGGTGGCCGTGCCTTGCTGACACGGGTTTGTGTGCAGGGCCGGCTTCTTCGGGACGGTGGTGGAATATGGCGCCGAGAGGAAGATCTCCAGGCACAGCGTGCTGGGGGCCGCCGTCAGCGTGGGGGTCCCGCAGGGCGTCTCTCTGAAGATCAAGTAAGTGGGGCCCGGGCCCAGGCACGTGCAGACCGTGACCTGTGAGCGGGACCTGCTGGGGCCATCCCTAGTGCCTGCCCCGTTTCCTGTCCCCTGCCTCTCTGGCCCTCTTCCTGCCCGGGCCCTGACCCCGGCTCACTCGGCTGGGGGAGCAGTCGACCGGCTTATAGTCTGCGCCCCGGGCTGTGGCTCTCACTGGTCCCTGCCTGGGTCCCGGAGCGTTTCCATAGCAGCTCACTGCCTCCCTCAGGGGGCTCAGCCCCTCCCACCTCCTCTGTCTCCAGGCTGCTCGTGTCCCCACACCCCTCCACGGCTTGTGGCCCCACTGCAGGGCAGCGCTTTGGGGGCCTTTGTGGCCGGCCCTCCTGGGCAGCCCTTGGCCTATCCCCCCACCCCCACCCTGATTCCCTCGCTGCTGGACCCCCCCTTCATTCCATGTAAGACGGACATGTGCCCCTCGCCTGCCCCCTGCGGGACGTGGCGGCATGAGTGTCACCTGCCGTGGAGACCTTCCGGTCCCTCCTGGCCCAGGTCTCTCCCCTCCTGCACCGCCGGGCCTGCCCCCCCACCCGCTCATGGCGGACACATAGATGAAGTGAGGAGGTTCCCATTCCTGCGCCGCGCTGACTAGCGGGCGCCTTCATACCCAGGGCCTCACGCTGCCCCTCAGAACCGCGCTCCTGGGCTGGAACTGTCGCCGCTGACTTCAGCCTTCTCCCTGGCTGCTCCGGGCATTAGCGCTCACCTGGGCCAGTCGCTGTGTGTCTCCCCCCCGCCCGCCTGTGCTCAGGTCCCCTACTCCAACCTCCTGTGGGACCGCGCTCCTCCTGGGGGCCAGGGTGAGCTGCGCCTCCGTGCCAGCCTGGCCCAGTGGAGGAGAGATGCCAGGCTGATGGCTCCACACTGACGCCCACAGGCAGGCTTGAGAACCCCCCGGGCCTGTCCTGGTCAGTCTGGGTCACTGCAGGTGGCCACTCCAGAGCTGGCCCTGCCCACCCAGCACTTCCAGCCTCCCAGCAGGTGGCACTGTGTCCCTCTGGGCTCTGGTGGCCACAGACCCTATTGATTTCCAGCCTGCCCTTCCTCTCTCCCTCCCTTCCTCTCTCCCATCCTTCTTCCCTCCTTCCCTCCCTCCCTTCCTACTTTTTCAGTTTTTCCCTTCCCCTTACACTTATGAACACTGTGGTTCACAAAGTTGTCCGTGATAGCACAACGGGTAGGGCATTTGCCTTGCATGTGGCCAACACAGGTTCGATTCCCAGCATTTCATATGGTTCCCCTGAGCACCACCAGGAGTCATTCCTGAGTGTAGAGCCAGGAGTAACCCCTGAGCATCGCCAAGTGTGACCCAAAAAAGACAAAAAATAATGAGCTTTAGGGCCTGGAGTGATAGCACAGCGGGTAGGGCGTTTGCCATGCATGCGGCCGACTGGGTTCGATTCCCAGCATCCCATATGGTCCCCCCAAGCATGGCCAGGAGTAATTCCTGAGTGCATGAACCAGGAGTAACCCCTGTGCATCGCTGGGTGTGACCCAAAAAGCAAAAAAAAAAAAACACAAAAACACAAAAGTTGTCCCTGAGGATCTGTTACAGGCATTCAGTATCCCAGCACCAACCACGCCACCTCTCCAGTTTTCCAGCCACCCCTTAAGCCTGCCCCCATAGCAGGCTCTCAGTAGTTTGTTTTCTGTTGCTTATTATCAATAATTTGCTGAAAGAATGATCAGAAACATTTCTTAGAAGTCAGCAAAAATTGTTGTGTCTCGCCATGGAGCCACTGTATGGTTCTCGTATAAAAGATTACTGAGCTGTCACAGGTTAAGCCTTTGGTGTTTCTGTCTTGTTAACTGAGCGCTGGTTGCCTTCCACTCTGCATCCCATCCAATCCGAGGTGCTGCCCCTGGTTTATCAGTGTTGCAGAGTTTGAGGTGCCGCCCCAGGAAGCACAGAACTTTTAATGGGGTGATCGGGGGAGATGAGGGAGCCCCCAAGACTCCGTGAGAGCCTGGAGGTTTCGGTCAAAAGACCCGCTTACCAGCATGTTGCTTTCTGGATGAGGCTCGTATGAGCAGGGGCTCGTGTGGTGTGTGGAAGTTTTCAGCTGCTGGGGCTCCGTTTGGGCGGGTCCTGGGCCCACCCGCCCCAGACTCAGCCTGGCACAGGGTCCAAAAGAAATGATGCGACTTGTTGACCTCTTTTGAGACTTGATGAGTCTCTGGCTGCCGGGCCTTCCCTGAAGGACAAGGAGGTGGAGGAAGGTCTCCCTTTCGAAACCCCGTGAGAGCCTGGAGATTTCAGTCACAGAACTCGCGTCCCTGAGTTTTTCAACAGATGAATTTCTGGATGAGGCTCGTGTGAGTGGTGGGGTCAGCCAGGTCGCTGCCCTTTGGCAGGAGTTCCAGGGTCGTCTCGTCTGTCTCACCCGCGACTTGGTTTCACTTGGGAACCAGCCAGCCGGCCTGAGTCCTGGCTCTGTGGTTCTGCCATCAGGCCTGGAGTCACTTGCCCTGTGACTGGTTATCACTCTGATCAACATGGGCTTGGGTCCCCGCGGAGACCCCCATCCACTGGCTACTCCCCAGCTATGGGGTCCCTCCGCAGTAGTCTGTGCCACTCACCTCCTGCCGTGGACTTGGGCGCCCACACGCGGCTTTGCCCGGGAGCGCCCGGCGCAGGCAGGTCCCTTCCCTTCCTTCCCCTCCCCTCATGCTGTCCTTGTCCTCACCCAGCCGGGCCTTCCAGCCTTGACTCCAGACAGTAGCCGAGTCCTGCGGGTGTGACCCTAAAGCACAGGCCACTCTCCTGCCCGGCATCCACAGCCCAGCCGGGCCCTTCCCTGCTGCCTGTCTTCAGACTGGCCACTGTGTGTGTCCTCATCCTCTCTTCTCTCTCTACCTCTCTCCCTGGAACACATGCTCCCTCCCTCTTTCTCCCTCTCCCTCCCTCTTTTCCTCCCTCCCACCATCTCTCCCTCGCTCTTTCTCCTTCCCTCCCTCTCCCTCCCTCTCCCTCCCTCTCTCCTTTTTCTTTCACATCCCCTGGTGCTTGGAGGTACCTCCCACCCGGTTATTTGGGGGCCATTTGTGGTGGTCCCGGGGAGCGACCATGGATTCAGCGTGCAGAGCTGCACTTGGTCTGGTGGGGTCTCGCGCCCTCTGCCCCCCTGCTGTCCGCCTGCTGTGTCACCGTCAGCAGGATGAGATGCTTTAGCTGGGGCCAGCACTCAGCGGAACAGCATTTGCTCTGCGCTGTCCTGCATGGCAAAGGCCTTAGTGGTGGGGCTCTCGGCGCTTTCGGGACCCACATAGTTTCCGAAGGAGAACCCGGGGCCAGAGCAACAGCACAGTAGGAGGGACACTCGCCTCACCTGGTCCGACCTGGGTTCACTCCCAGCGCCCCAGCAGGTCCCCCAGCCCAGAGCATCAAATCTGTCGGCCAGATTGATATCTGGCAGGCAAGGCCTGGGCCCTACTCACAGCAGACGGGATTCAGGCCCAGGCCACACGCGGTCCCCGAACCCTACTCGGTGTGGCCCAGAATCCAAAAACGAAACGAAAAGGACAGTTGTGTGCGGGCACTCTGTGCCAGCCGACCTCCAGGCCTCCCGGTGACTGGCCTGCTCCTCTCACTCCAGCTCGGGGCGGGGGGCAGTTTGAGTGTCTGGGGACTTCTGGAGATGGGTCTGTTGGTCTCCCCAGGGGGTGATGACTCGGGCGAAGTCAGGTGGCAGGTTTGTCACCACCTCGGAACCCAGTCTTCGCCAGGCGCTGCGCCTGGCCTGGCTCTGCCGTGCAGACACCCCCGGGCATCCCGCTTTGGCCGGGGCCCTGCTTCCCCCTGGTCCAGACTCACAGGGCTGGGGGGCCCAGGTGGGCATGGCCCTGGGGCCCCGGTGGCGGGGCCTCCTTCAGGGGCGTCATCTGCTCCTGCAGGCTGAACCGGGCCAGCCAGACCTACTTCTTCCCCATCCACCTGACGGACCAGCTGCTGCCCAGCGCCGTGTTCTACGCCACCGCGGGCCCCCTCGTGCTCTACTTCGCCATGCACCGCCTCATCATCAAGCCCTACCTCCGGGCCCAGAAGGAGAAGTGAGTCCCCGCCGGGCCCCAGCACCGCTCTCCACCCGCCGCTCTGCCCTGGTCTGGGGGGTGCAGGCCGGGGGTGCGTGACCCATGTGAGACCCCTGAGGTGCCGGGAGGGATGAATGTCTACCACCTGCAGTGGGGGGGGGGGGGGCGGGGGGTACGCTGGCAGGGCAGCCCCCCCAGGAAAGAGCAGAACCGCAGGGTAGCAGCTGGGCCGGAGACGCTCGGGAATACTCTGCGAGGTGCCAGCTGGAGCCCCGAGCCGGCTGTTCGCTGGGTGGCGGCTGGCACCGGGCTCAGCCACCATGTCTCGCAGGGAGCTGGAGAAGCATCGGGAGAGCACGGCCAGCGACATCCTACAGAAGAAGCAGGAGGCTGAGGCCGCGGTAAGCATGGCTTGCCTCGGGCCTTCGCTTTCCCCGTGGGCTGCGGCACCCCACCTCGCCTTTCAGGGGCGGGGCGGTGTGCTCCCAGAGTGCTCCCTGAGTGCTCCCCCTGCCCCCTGGCCCCCCAGGTGCGGCTGATGCAGGAGTCTGTGCGGAGAATCATCGAGGCGGAGGAGTCCAGGATGGGTAAGTGGGGATGGGGATGGGTCTCTGGGCAGGGCCCCGGGTGGTGGGCGGCAGCACCCACCTTCCTCTCGACTCGTCCTCAGGCCTCATCATCGTGAACGCCTGGTACGGGAAGTTCGTGAACGACAAGAGCAGGAAGAACGAGCGGGTGAAGGTGATCGACGTGACGGTGCCCCTGCAGTGCCTGGTCAAGGACTCGAAGCTCATCCTCACCGAGGCCTCCAAGGTGTCGCCGCGTCTCCTCATCTCGGGCAGGGGCTGTGTCTCGAGAACTGTTTGTCCTTTCGCGGAGGTTTGGCTTGGGGACCGGGGGCCGCCGTTGAGACTCGCATGTGGAAGGCCCTGGAGATGGGCAGGGGGCCTGGGCCCCACCCGCGAGCTCACTCCAACCCCGTGGTTTCTGTTGAACTCTGGTGGGAAAAGAGGCTCCTGGCGGCCACTCTGCTCTGTTGGCAGCCTGTCCCACGGTCTGTAGCCAAGTCCTGGCACAGAGCCCCGCGTGGGAGGGGGGGTGCAGCCTGAGCCCCCTTCTCCCCCCTCTCCCCCCCAGTAAGGAACGGGGCAGGGGGGCAGCCAGGCAGGTTACGAGCAGACAGGGAGAAGAAGACTAGATGTGTGCGCTTCCCTGTGGTGGTTTGGTTTGGGGTGCGCAGGGGGCCAGAAACTTGCTCTCGAGCCGAGCTGTGTGTGTGTGTGTGTGTGTTGGGGGGGTGGTGTCCCCCCCGCCCAGGCAGCCCCACATCCCGCCCTGACTCACCCCGTCCTGTGTTCCAGGCCGGGCTGCCCGGGTTTTACGACCCGTGTGTGGGGGAGGAGAAGAACCTCAAAGTGCTCTACCAGTTCCGGGGCGTCCTGCACCAGGTCATGGCCCAGGATAGCGAGGCGCTGCGGATACCCAAGCAGTGTGAGTGGCCTGCCTCGGGGCCGGGGTGAGGAGGAGGGGGCAGGGGGCATCCAGCAGCCCAGGGCCTGCCCTCTGAGCTGCCTGTGCCCCTCACAGCTCACAGGATCGACACAGACGGATAAGCCCCCCGGGAAGCCAGATTCCAAAGAGGCTGTGCAGACTCTCCTGGGGGTCTGCAGGACCTGGACGCCGGGCGACCCCCAACATCAGATGTGTTTATTTTCTATTATTCCTGTAGCAGGTGGTACCGTATCAATTATGTGAAGGGACTCAGACCCCCGCTCTCTCGGGTGCCCGGGGAGGATGGAGGCCCCGCCTGGCCCGTGTCTGTCTGTCCGTCCTCCCGAGGATCATGATGTCCCGGGCAGGCCGCCGCGCAGCCCCCGCCCACCCTCACGGGGCTGCAGCCCCTCCCCCCCAGAAGCGCACGTCCAGCAGGGGGTGGGAGCCAGCGACGCGGGCCCAGCCAAGAGCCGGGTCCCCGGGCCCAGCTCCCAAACGGCCTTTTCCTGCTGAGACGCCACGTGAACCTGGAGAGGATTGTGTGGGTTTATAAATCTGCTTTTTATCTGAGATGAGTGGTTTCGGAAGTTGGTCTCTTTCCCCTCCTAGAACTTCTCAGACCATTCCACTGGGACGGGGCCGTGCCAGTGCCCTCCCAGGCGCTTCCTTCCTGCGGGCCGAGGGCGAGTGCCAGCCGCGGCTCTCCCGCCAGCCCCCCTCGGAGCGCAGCGGGATGTGTGGCAGCAGCGGGCAGGTAGAGGGGGTCCGAATCCCAGCCCTTCGGGGCTCCCCGGCCACCTCACGCCCACGTCCCTGCTCCTTCGCTCCCCGGGGGCCGCTCTTGACGCCCCCTCCTCAGCTCGGGCCAAGCCGTAACATTTGTGGACAGAGTACCCCAATCCTGCGCTGTCTGTCTCCACTCGCGAGCCACCCCGAGCCGCCGCCGTGAATGTGAATCGTGCCGTGAAGCTGTCAGGCGGCTGGACACGCGTGTCCGCGGGGGCCCACTCGGAAGGACTGTACCCAATAAACCTTTCCTGAAACCGGGCTGGTGTCGTCAGTGCCTGGGGCAGAGCGGCCGCGGCCGCCTGCCTGACAGAACCTTCGAGAGGGTCAGGGACGAGGCGAGAGCAGGGCAGGACACTTTTATTAGGCCCCGCGCCCGGGCCCTCCCCAACCCCACGGCGGCCCCGGAGCCGGCGGCTCAGCCGCCACAGCAGGAGCCTCTGGGCCCGCAGGCGCCGGTGCAGCCGCTCGTTGTCCCGAAGCGCCCGGAAGAGCCTCTGCTTGAGGGTGGCCGCGTCCAGGAGGGCGTAGCTGTGGTCCGAGGGCTGTGCAGGGTGGGCATGTCTTGGGGTGGGGAGCTCGGCCGCCTCGGGGCACGGCGGGACCTGACAATGGGTGGCTGGTGAGGAGACGCTCTGGGCTCCGGCCACAGTGCTCGGGACCCATCCTCGCCGGAGGGCAGCAACACCAACCATGCCCCTGGTTGCAGGTGGCACTCCAGGGCACCCTCGGGGGATCCTGGCACCCCCTCCCCCGGAAACCGTAGCTGCTCTGCTGGGAGCAGAGGCTGGGGTGCAGCCCCCGGAGCACAGAGTCTGTGGGACAGGGACTCTGGGCAGCAGACCAGGGAGGAAGAGGAGAACCCGCATGCTTCCAGGACCTTCGCTTCTGCCGGGCCCCGCGGCACTCACCTGCCCGTCCTCAGAGCTGGGCTTTCCGCCCTCGCTGGTGCCGTCCCTGCTGTCCAAGGCCAGCTGCAAAGATAGAGCTGCTCAGCTGTGCCCAGGCCCACCCCCACGTGACAGAGGCCGGGCTCCCCCATCCCGGGCTGAGGACCCTTGTCCCTGGGGGCAACGGGGGTGGCAGCGATCACCCACAGGGGCCACTGCAGGGTTCACGGAGGCCGGGCCACCTGGCACCCCAGGGCCCAAGCACCAGCTGCCGATCCTGTGAGCTGAGATTTGCCAGAAGGGGCCATGTCCGAAGACGGGCCAAACCCAAAGCTGTCGGACACAGCACAGGAGCGTGCTGGAGTCTCTCTGCCGGGACGGGGCTGGGGGCTGCAGGCCGCAGGATCGGGGACAGTGGCAGAGTGGCGGCCACCTGAGCAGAGGGCCTGGGACTCCCAGGCGCGGCAGAACCTGCCTGCGGGCCTCCTGAGACTCTGGACACGCTTCCCAACAGGGGACTCGGTGCAACCCTCTGCACATCTGGGGCAGCTGCCAGTGTCCTGCAGCTGGATACACCCACCGGGAACACTGGCCTCCAGCCCCCCCTGGGGCCCAGTCTCCCCCTGAAGCCCACCTGGCCCCCAGTCATTCAGCTGCAGCCCCTGGGGTCCAGCCCCCTAACCCCCCAGACTCCTTCCTCTGGGGGACAGAGGTGCTCCCCACATCCAGCAGGGCCCAGCAGAAAGGTGTAGGCACTCAGCGTGGGTGCTCAGGGCCCAGCAGGACCCCGGATGGCATCCGCACCCCACCCTCTCGGGACTGTGTGGGGCCCCCCCACGTACCCCGATTTCCCAAGCAGCTGTATAGGGGTGGGGGCGCCCGCCAACAGTCGGCCAGCCAGCCCCCAAGCCAAGCCTGGAGCGCTGGGAGCCGCGCTCACCTGCGGGGGGTGCGGGGAGGCGAACTCGGTGGGCACGGCGTTGTGCTTGAGGTTCTTGCGGTTGCCGAAGGCGCTGAAGCACTCGGGCCGGAAGTGCTCGGAGCAGAGCACCGTGTGCTGCTTGGGCTGGAAGTTGCCGCGGCCCATGTTGCGGACCCACTGGCGCAGCAGCTCGGGCCGGCTGAAGGGGAAGCTGCGGGCGGGCGGCGGGGGTCAGCGGGCAGCGGCCCGGCCCCTCCCGCGGCTGCCCTGGCCCAGGGGCCCGGCCCCCCACGGGACGGCTTGCGGAGCAAATGCTGGGTTCGACCCAGCCCAGCTTTCTGGAAGCTTCTGTCGTGGACAACTGCCTCCTGGAGAGCAGGAAAGCAGGAACAGGGCGGCAGAGCCCACGGCCCGCGCCGGATAGTGCGACCGGCCAGGGAGGGCCCCCAGGAGGGGGCATCCGGGCGGGCCACGGGAGGGGGGGCCGAAGGAAGCGCGGGGGGCCCGGCCGGGGACGGGCCCGGGCGGGGCTGGGGGGGTCCCGGCCCGCGGGAGCCGCGCGGGTCACTCCGCGTCCGCGTGCTGATCGCGGCGGGCAGAGGGGCCGAGCAGCGTCTGGGCGGGGTGGGCGCGGGGGGCTGCCACGCCCCCGGGCCCCGGGCAGCCGGCCCCGACGGGCGGGCGGGAGGGAGCGCGGGGCGACCACCGCCCGGCCCTCTCCGGGGAGGCGGGGCCCTGCCGGCGCGGGCCGCCGTGCTGGTCACTGCCCCGCCGGCCCGAGTGACCCGAGCAGGGGCGCGGGATAAGCGCGGCGTCCCCCGCGCCGCCCCCGCCCGTCGCCCACGCACGCGGCCCCAGCCCCCGCCGCCCCGCCTCACCGGTGGAAGGTGAGCTGCTTCCTGCGGCTGCTGTAGCGGTTGCAGCACTGCCGGGCCGCGCACGACTTCGGCATCGCTGCACGCTGCCCCGCTGCCCCCAACAAAGATGGCGGGGCCGTGGCGGGCGCGGGCCGGGGCGGGGCCATGGCTGCGGGGCGGGGCTTTGGCTGCTGGGGGCGGGGCCTCAGTGGGCACGGTCTGGGGCGAGGCGGGCCGCAGGGCGGGGCGATTGCTGCTGGGAGCGGGACCTTAGTGGGCACGGGCCGCGGCGGGGCGGGCCGCGGAGCGGGGCCATGGCTGCTGGGGGCGGGGCCTTAGTGGGCACGGCCGGGAGCGGGGCGAGCCGCAGGGCTTGGCTGCTGGGGGACGGGGCGGGCCGCGATGGGCGGGGCCATGGCGGACACGGGCTGGGGCGGGGCCTTGGCTGCTGGGGGGGTGGAGCCTTGGCTGCTGGGGGCGGGGCCTCAGTGGGCACGGTCTGGGGCGAAGCGGGCCGCAGGGCGGGGCGATTGCTGCTGGGAGCGGGACCTTAGTGGGCACGGGCCGCGGCGGGGCGGGCCGCGGAGCGGGGCCATGGCTGCTGGGGGCGGGGCCTTAGTGGGCACGGCCGGGAGCGGGGCGAGCCGCAGGGCTTGGCTGCTGGGGGACGGGGCGGGCCGCGATGGGCGGGGCCATGGCGGACACGGGCTGGGGCGGGGCCTTGGCTGCTGGGGGCGGGGCCTTAGTGGGCGCGGGCTGGGGCGGGGCGGGCCCGGGGACAGGGCTAAGCTGCTTGGGGGAGGGACGGGCCGCGAGGGGCGGGGCCATGGCGGACACGGGCTGGGGCGGGACCTTGGCTGCTGGGGGCGGGGCCTTAGTGGGCAGGCCGCGAACACAGGGCTCGGCCTCTTGGGGGCGGGGCGGGCCACGGGAGGCGGGGCCGTAGCGGACACTGGCTGGGCGGGGGCGGGGCCTTGGCTGCTGGGGGCGTGGCGGGCCGCAAGGGACGGTTCCTTGGCGGGCACGGGCTGGGGGCGGGGCGGGGACGCTGGACGGCGTGTCCTTGGGCGGGCGGGGTCCGGGGTGTGGCCTTGGGCGGCGCCGTACGATGAGGCAGGGCCATGAGGATGCCAAGCTCCTGTGTTGCTCCAGGTCTTAAGTCTGCAGGACCCTTGGGTGCCCTAGCAAGCTGTGCGCTAGGCCCAACTCAGACCCCTAATAGTGTTGCCAACATGTTTCACTACAGTTCGCTGAAGCCGGCTCCTCTCACCTTGCTTTGGGGCTCCCTGAAGGTTGACGCCCTCAGAAAGCAGAGGGCTACGGCACGGATGGTGCTTGCCTCGAATGCTGTCGACCCAGGTTTGATCCCGGGCATCCCCGACAGGCCCCCAAGTGGCACCCTGACTAAGCCCTGAGCGCCGCTGGGAATAGCCCAAGATAAAATAAAAGTCCCTGCCGGCTTCCACTGTAAAGGTGTTCGTTCTTAGATCTTGGCTGCTTAAATGTCACTGCTGGAGATAGTTGGCCACGGACTGGCTGTAGACTGCAGCTGTACAGACGACTGTACAGATGGGTGACTGACAGAAACGGCTCGGGCTCTGTGGGACCCCAAGTGTAAAGGACAAGAGCACCCCAGAGAGATGACTTCCTAAAGCTAGGCTGCTCAGATCTTACCCGTTCAGTGCCGGATTTGCGCGCTCCATAAGATTCCATCCCGGGCAGCACTCCCAGGAGCACCTCCAGGGATGACCCCTTGAGCACTGTGATCCCTCCACTGTCAAATGAAAAAACAAGCCTGGGCTTGCAGAACCTCAGTCAACCCGATCACTGGGTTTAAGTGAAAACAGTTTTTCAGTGAAATTATGCTGTTCATTTCCATTCAGACTATGTTTTGTTACACGAAAAATATCCTGGCGCCAGTGACACAGCTCTGCAGAGCTCTGGCCTTGAGTGTGAGCCCCTGGGTTGATCCCAGCTACCACACAGGAGAAAGAGAGACATTGACGGAGAGCACTTTCCCCCGCGCAAAGGCAGGCTTGGCATCCCAAGCCTCAGTTCCGGGGGTGTGGGTGACGAAGGGACAAGGATATCACCCCAAGCAGGACGTGAATCTCAAAGTAGCAATATGTTTATTTACAAAATATACAGTTTCACAGAAACAGCTGCGCTTTATACACATAAACCTTATAATTACACGGACCCATGTAAACGATGTTAAGTGTCTGGCCTAGCCAGAGCCAGGGACCGACTCGGGTGACTGACCACCTCCCCCCACCTCATTCGTCCCCTGGCGTCACTAGCCACCAACCTGGAGCCCTGGCGGAACCATCCCGATTTGCATAAAGCAGCTAATTGCAGCTGCCCGCCTCACCCAACGAGACCCCGAGGTGCCCCCACTGCTCAGCCGTCACCCCAGGGGCACGTGTGCCAGAACCCAAAGATCAGGAAAGGGAAAGGCATTTGGCCACCTTCCAGAGGCGGCACCAGGCAGCGAACCCCTCAACAGCACACAGGGACCCCCCCCCCAACAAAATCACGCGGCTTCTTAAAACACACTGGGGAAACCGTATCGAGGTTTTACAAAAAGAAAAAGAAAACCACCGGGAACCTTGGCTACTCTCAGGACGAGCAATGGCACGAGCGAATCTTTGGCAAATTCCTCTCCGACTTCTCCCCGGGGTTTGCCACTCCCCAGCCTCCCCCAAGCTCGCTCAAAGGGGCCTCACGATGCACGAGGCCTCAGGGACGACTTTCGTGTTCAAAGGACTGGAATTAAAACCAAAATCGAAAAAGGCCAGTTGGCCGGCCAGACCTGGAGGACAGACGCCCAAGCTGGACTGTGATGGGCTGAAAGGCAGGTCCATTCCCAGTGCGCTGGTGAGGGGGACGCCCAGTACCGGTGCCTCAAGAAGCCCCCACCCTGCAGGGAGACTTGGGGGGGTCCCCTCTGGCTGAAATTGAGGGAGTCCCTCGGGCTTTCTTCCCTTCCCACGAGATACAAAGAACAAGTGTCGAGGAAAACACACCTACTGATTCTACAAGAAAAATACTTCTGAGAACGGCATTCGCGCCGCTGGAGAGCAGCGGCTTGAGGAACGAGGAACCCCAAAACCTTCCGGGCCCCAGAACCACCTGTGTCCAGGGGTACCCTGCAGGGGAGAGGGGGCTTCACAACCAGCCCTGGGACATGTCTGGGCAGGAAGAACACAACCCAGTCCAACGGCCCCCACCAAGGCCAAGGCGCTCCCAAAACTCACCGGCTCCAACTTGTGCCATGGGTGTCTGGCTGAGGGGAGCAGGCCCCCCCCACCCCAGCAGAGGCCTGACCTCCCGGACGGAAGGAGGGAGGCAAAGGGTGCTAAAGTGCTCCTCTCGCTCGCAAACCGCCTACCGGGCCCCGCTCAGCCTCTGCCACGGGGGTGAAGGGGCACCAGGCAGAAATCTGCCAATACTTTTGGCTGTATCGTGCAAAAAGACAGTTTTTTTTTTACATCGTGCAAAACAGGAAACTGAGTTATGAACAACACGGGGCCCCTCCGCCCTCCCTCCCATCCACCCCCTTTTCCAGAGAGGCGGCCAACCTGTCCCGTCACCGAGAGGGAAGCTGGGGCGTCTGAGCACGTCCCCAGGACGGAGGCAGGCAGGGGTGGGGGTGGAGGGGATAACGGAGGTGGGGGGTGCTCAGGGCAGCCCTGTGGCCGCGGTACAGACACTTATGGCAAAAGACTGACACTCGAGAAAAAGCTCACAGGTATGGCTGTTCGTGGATGGGCCGGGGACACGGGACAGGTCTGTCCCCAACAACACGGCAGAAGCAGAGTGACGAGGCGACGAGCACTGGTTCCCACCGGCAGGAATTTCACCACGAGCCAGAATGCAGACCACCGCCAACCCCTGCCACACAGAGGCCAAGGCGGCCGCTGCCCAGAGCGGCCCCGGCCAAGGGAGGTTTATTCAGTTGGTGGCGCCAACAGCCTGTCCCGAGTAGGCACCTGAAGGCAGGGCGGGCCCACAGCCTGGCTGAGTCCGGCCCGGCACGGGGCCCCGCCGCTCCCGGCCGCGTCAGTCCAGGAAGAGCTTCCGGGAGCCCATGCGGGAGCGGCTGGAGCGGCGGATGTCGAACTTAGAGTCCCGGCACTTCTGGCATACAAACACTTCGGGCACGTTGGACTTGCGGATCTTGGCGCAGGACAGGTGGATCCAGGTGTGGCACTCGTTGCACTCGATCATGGGGCGGCCGGCGAAAGGCTTCATGCAGAAGCAGGTGACCAGGTCCCAGGAGTCGTCATCTGCATGGCGAGGAGACCGTCAGCAGGGGAGAATGGCTGCGGAACCCCCCCCGCCCCGCCCCCAGCCCGGCCCACACACGCACCTGAGTCCACCATGATGTCCTCATCGTTGCCGGTGCTGTCCTCGTCCCGGAACACCACCTGCTTGCCCTGCCGGACGATAGTCCGTTTGCCTTCAGTTTGGATCTCTTTGGCCTGATCAGGGGACTCGGCGACTCCGGAGCCGCTGGAGGGCGTGTCCGAGTCCCAGCCCGAGCAGGGGTCGCCGGGGGCCGGGGGGCTGTCCTGCGGGGTCCGGGGTGGCTCCACGTAGGGATCGGCGGCCTCCAGGTTCAGCAGGCCCCCCATGAACCCCTCCTGCACGGCCACGTCACTGGCCCGGCGCTTCCTCTTCTTCTTCTTCTTCAGCTTGTCCGGCTTCTTTCTGTCCAGCAGGAAGTCACCGGGCTTGGCGCGTGGCAGGTGCCCGAAGCAGCGGTCTGAGACCGGCAGGGACACGGCAGCGGGGATGTCGGGGAAGCCCGGGTCCCAGCTGTCGCTGTCGACGGTGCCCGCGGTGCTGGTGGCAGGGCTGGGGCTGCTCCGCAGAGGCAGCTCCTAAAAGGACAGGTGGACACCCCAGTGTCAGGACGGGGGTCTTCGCTGGGCCGGAACGATAGGACGGCAGGCACAGCATCTGCACCGCACCGGGCCGACCCAGGTTCGAGCCCCATGTGGCCCCCAAGCACCACTACGAGTAACTCCTGAGTTGAAGGCAGGAGTAACCCCTGAGCACCGCCAGGTGTGGCCCAAAACCAAGGCAGGAGAGAAAGGGCCTGGGGTCACCAGGCCTCTGAGCAGGCCTTTCCCAGCAGCCACCGCCTCTGTGCAGCCTGCAGCCAGGAGCCTGAGCTGCCGCTGGTCCCTGCGTCTCTCTGGGTCCTCCCAGGGGAGCTGTGGCCTTAATTAAACAAATTTGAATCACCTGGAGAATTCCCTGATGCTCTTTTAAAAACCCAATACAAGGCCGGAGCAATCGTACAGATTGCACGCCTTGCATGCGGCCAACCCGGGCTCACTCGCCGCATCCCAAAGGACCCCACTTCCCTGGAGGGAGGGATTCCTGAGCTCAGAGCCAGGAGTCACCCCTGAGCAACACCAGGTGTGGGCCCCACCCCCCCCCACCAAAAACTTAACTGAACAAAAACCCCAAAGCCTCTCCAAGTATATGGAAGGCCAGGCCTCAGGGGCGGTCAGGCACATGCTGATGGCCACACTGTCACCATGAAACCGCTGTTCTGCCCCCACTGCAGCAGGGACGGGCAAGCTGCAAACTGCTCCCCGGAGCACTGGGCTCCTAGATGGAGGCCCTGGGCCCTGCTCTTGGGAAAACGTGGACACTCCTGTATAAGCAGAAGGCTGCGGGCGACCAGGCCAGGCATGGCCATGCTGAGCCTGGAGCCTGGGCCTAACTCAGAAGGACTAGCGTGCAGAAAGGACTTCAAGGGCCACCACACCCGAGAGCAGGAGGCCCAGTTCTGCTGGGTACAGGCCACCAACAAAAACAAACACTTGAGTCTCCACTGGGGACAAGGGGCCAGAGGGCGTGCCGCCATCAGCAAGGGGCCTGCACACAGCTTGGTGCCAGCCGCGCCTCGGGCACACTGCACCTGGTTGACCCTCTGAGCAGAGCCGGGAGTACCCTCAAGTACAACCGGATGTAGCCCCAAAACCAAAAAGTTTGAAAAAAAAAAAAAGCGGAGGGTCACCACACATGACAGCAGAGTGGGATTTGCCTTGCTCAAGGTCCACCCAGGTTCAAGCCCTGCTCCCCGGAGGTTCCCCCAAACCCCCCAGAAGTGATCCCTGAGTTCAGAGTCAAGAATAAGCCCTGAGCATAGCCAGATACAGCCCCCCAAAACAAAAAAAAATTAAACGGAAACACATAAGCGCACCAGCCCATGCCCAGGAAGGGCCAAGAATGGGGCAGGTGGCGGCAGTCAGGGGCGGAGCTGCCAACGCCAAGTTAACCCTGAACCGCCAATAAACCGCATCTGCCCACAAAAGTGCTCATGGGCTACTCCACGGGCACCCCGGACCGGCCCCTCAGGCCCGGAACACTCTCCTCGCCTGCCGCACCCCCCCAAGGGGCGCCAGTTTCCAGGGCAGCTTCCCACCTGCGCCCCACTCGAACCCCCGGGGAACCCCCGGGGAATGGGTGACCCAGGCCGGCCCAGCATCCCCCAGCATCCGAAGCGCATTACCTCCTGCGGATAGGGGATGTAGCCTGCGTAGGCCAGGACAAAAGTGCAGAACTTGTTGAAATCCTCCACGGTCCTGCGCCTCTTGTAGCCGGGGGAGTACTCCTGCGAAGAGCGAGACGGGGCGGGTTGGCGGGCGGACTCGCCCTTGGGTCCTCCTCCCCGGCTTGCTACTCCTCCCCGAGAACACCCTGCAGGACTTGCACCCGCGACCGAGATAAGGGGAGCAGGGTCAGAAATCGGCCTCCAGAAGACAAAGAGGAGGAGGAGGAGGAGGAGGAGGAGGAGGAGGAGGAGGAGGAGAAAGAGGAGGAGGAGGAGGAGAAAGAGGAGGAGGAGGAGAAGGGTAAAGCCGAAAACTGCTGGGCAGCAGATGCCAGCGAAAAGCCAAGGCAGAAACTTCTTTCCGAGCGGCGGCGGGAGCGCCCTGGGGGTTATCGAGCCGCCGGCGCGGGCCTCGCGGGGGCTCCGACCACCTTTGCAACAGATTTGCCGTTTCGAAAACAAACCCCTGCACCGGCGCGAACCGCAGATTGGAAGCGATTTCCAAAGCCTGGGGCCGCGCAGGGCTGCGCCCGCCCCTCCTCCGCGCGCCGCCCCTCGGTCGGAGGCCACTCGGGCCCGGCCGCACGGGGACTTCTCCCCTGCCCAAGCCCCCGCGGGGTCGCCGCGCCCCCCTCGGCCTCGCGGGGCGAGCGGGAGGGGGTGGGGGTTGGGACTCGGCGAACACCCGGACCGAGTTTCCTTTAAGCGCCTGATCGCCCCACCCCCGAGGGGCGCCGCTACCCCCGGAACCCCGCGGCGGGCCCCGGCGGGGGACGGGCTGGGGACGGGCTGGGGGCGGGTGGGTCGGGGCCGGCCCCCGCCGCCTTCCCCCGCGGGACTCCCCGCTCCCCGCGCTCCTCCCGCCGGGGCCCGCGCCCCCGCCGACCCCCCGCGCGCGCCGAGACCCCGCGTGGCACGCAGGTGGCCGAGAGGCGGGGGCCGGGGACGGGGGCGCGGGGCTCGACCTCCAACTCTCCCGCACAACTTTTCCGTGGGCGGCGGAGGCGCGGGAGCGGGACGGCGGGGGTCGCGGCGGCGGCGGCGCCCGGCCCCGAGACCCCCCGCGCCGCGCCCCGCCCGGCCCCGCGCGTCGCCCGGAAGGTGCGCGGCCGGCCCGCAGGGAGGGGGCGCGGGGCCCGGCGCTGCCGAGACCCCGGGGGGCGGCCGGGAGGCCCCCGAGCCGATCCCCGGAAGCGGGCGGAGGCGGGGCGGGCGCGGTGACCGGCGCCGCGGGCGGGGGGCGGGGGCCCCGCGGGGGAGCGAGCGGAGCCCCCCGGGACGCGCCGGAGGGGGGCGGGGGCCGCGCGGCCGGCGCGGGAGCTGGGGGGCGGGGCGCGGGGTTCGGGGGGGGCCCGAGTCCGGGTCCGAGGGGGCCCGCGAGCCCCCAGGGGGCGGGGGAGGGGGACGGCGACTCGGCCCGGGGGCGGGGAGCGGCCGAGCGCGCAGACAGGTACCCGAGCGACGCGAGGCCGGGGGGACGGTGGGCGCGGCGGCCGGGGCCCGGGGTCCGGGTGGGCGCGGACGACCGCGGGAGCGCCGGCGGGGCGCGGGCCCGAGTGGGGGGCGGGGTTGGCCTGGGGGAGGGGCAGCGCGGGGAGGACGACGCTGGGCCGCGGGGGTCCGGCCGCCGGGGGCGGTGGGGGGGTGGGGGCGCCGGGCCGGGGGCGATCGGGGCGCAGCCCCCACTCACCTCGGGGTGGAAGGCGGCGGCGCAGGAGTCGGAGTCCATGTTCGGGGCGGGGGGCGGCGGCCGCGGGAGTGCGGGCGGCGGGCGGCGGCCGCGGGGCCGGCTCGGGGCTGCGGGCGCCGGCGGCCGCGCAGGGGCGAGGGCGGACCCGCGGGTGGGGGTGGGGGGTCGCCCCGGCCGGAGCTGATGGGGGGCTCGGCGTGTCGCGTCCCGGCTCCCCGTCCCCGGGCCGGCGGCGCCGCGGCCGAGCGGAGTGGGCGATGCAGCGGCCGCGGCCGGCGCGGCGGGAGAGGCGGGAGAGTCGCTGCGGGGGGCGGCGGCGGCGGCGGCGAGCGGGAACCCGACCGGCTCCCCGACCTGACGCCCAGTTCGGCTCGTGTCTCGGGAGGGAGGGCGGGAGCGCCGCGAGGGCTGCCGGGAAATGTAGTCTGGGGGCCGCCGGGGCCGCCGGCGCGGGGGCGTGGCGCGGGGCATTGTGGGAGCCGTAGTTCCCTGCGCCGCGACCGGCGCGCGCGGGAGTCTCCGCGCGGACTACAGTTCCCAGAGGGCGCTGGGGCCGGCCGCCCGGGGTGCGGGGGCGGTGTAGCGGGGACCCAAGGCCGCGGGCGCGGGGGAGGTGCGGAGGCTCGCGCTGGCTGGGCGGTGGGGGAGGGGCGGCCCGGGCGGTCGCGCCTGGGGCTTGGCTGGGCGGGGGCGGGGCCGCCAGGCGGGAGCGGGGGTGTGCGGCGCCCTCCCTTTCTCCTTCGGGGACACGGGGGCTCCGCGCCCCTTTGTGGGCCCAGGGCGGGGGGGGGTCCCCGCCGCCGCCGCCGCCGCCCGAGCGGGCGCGGGGGCGGCGGGTTCCACTGGCCTTGACGTCGCGGCCGCGCCCCCCGCCCCCGTCTCGGCTTCCCGCGCCTCGGGCCGGGCGGAGCGAACTTGTCGCGGCGGCCGCGGGTTTTCGGAGCGGCGGGGCCCGCCGAGCCGGAGCCGGAACCGGAGCCGGAGCCGGAACCGGGGGTCGGGTCGCCCACCCGCCCGCACGCCGGCCCCGCCCCGCCGGCTGTCCCGCCTCGAATTCTTCCCTGGAAACGCGCCCGGCCGGCCTCGGGCGGGAGGGGGGGCGGGGACGGGGGCGACCCCCGACGGGGCGACCCCGGCGCCGACGCGGCTCGGCGGGGTGGCTGTTGGGGCGAGGGGCGCGCGGCGTTGCCCCCGCTGGGCGCGCGCGCGCGGGTCGGTTGCGCGCGGTTTGCTGGGGGCGCCGCGGGGGCGAGGCCGGCCGGGCCGCGCAGAGGACCCCGGGGGGTGGGGGGGGGCGGCCAGCAGCACCTCTGCGGCCGCGAGGACAAAGGAGCCGGCGAGGGTCGAGCTCCGATCCCGGCGACCACCCTGCCCCGACGGGAGCGCCGGGTGGCGCTGGGGTGCCCCGCCGCGGGGGTCGCCGTGGCCGCCACCGTGCGAGCACCGAGAGGTGGGCAAACGGGACTTTGCTCAGAAACGCTTCTCTCTGCCTCCGGAACAGCAGTTTGCTGTTAACGTTCTTTTTCTCGGGGGGTCACGTTCCCCGGCGGATCTTGGCTTCTGCAAACACCCCGGGCAGGTGCCTTCACACCCGTCTCGGTCCAGAGGTCAGTCGGGGGAATACTTCTGGAGGTGCTCAGGTCAAGTAAAGGGGAATCTGCCGAAAGCGAGCGAAAGAAGGGGACTTTTCCTGGCTAACTCATTTATTTATTGTCGCTCCCCGCGGCACGTCCTTCCCTTAATAAAGGCTGATTTTCTTGCCCCTATAAACGGACTCAGATTTGTTTTTGTTTTTGTTTTTGTTTTTTTTGCTTTTTGGGTCACACTGGCGATGCTCAGGGGTTACTCCAGGCTCTGCACTCAGGAGTTACTCCTGGCAGTGCTCGGGGGACCATATGGGATGCTGAGACTCGAACCCGGGTCGGCCGCGTGCAAGGCAAACGTCCTACCCGCTGTGCTATCGCTCCAGCTCCCGGACTCACATTTCAAATGAAGAATGTGCTCCGGGTACTGGACTTGGTGACCAAACAGCTGAGCATTCAGAGCTAGGGGATAAGAGGTCTCCAAATCATCTTCAAGGGGCTCCTGTCCGCAGGTTCGTGCCCACCGTGCTGGTGGGTCTGGAGGTAGTGCTGGGGACTAGCTGACACCCCCACACACACAAGTGCTCAGGGGCCTGGGGTGCCCGAGCCCCCGACTAGTGCCAGGTATTGATCCTGGGCCGCCTGCCTGAGCCCCTAGGTGTTCTCTTGGCCTCTGGGCGGGGGGATAGGGACACCATGATCAATGCAGTGCAGTCACCGTCCCCGAAAACTCAGTCCCACCAGGCAGGACTCTTGTCTCCCTTCTCAGCAGTGCTCAGGATGCAGTACTGCCAAGCTGCTGGCCTGTCCCTTGCCTGCCTATCTGGGGGACACAGAAGACCTTTGTCTGTCCGTCCTATGATTTCCTTTAGGAAGCAAATCAAAAAGTAAGTAGGGGTGAATAAGAAGACATAGAGACATCAATATTTGCCAGCCCTTTGTCAACTGTGTATTAAACAGCATAAATTAAAAGCCAAAAAAAAAAAATATTTGCCAGCCCTTTCTCTGGACTCCAAAAAAAAAAAAAAATGCCAACGGGGACCTAAGTGTAGTACAGCCCAGAGGGCGCTGGCCCTGCACGCAGCCGCCCCTCTCCGGTCGTCCCCCAAGCCGGTTACAAGTGACTCCTGACTTGCAGAGCTGAGGGTAATCCTTGAGCACTGCAAGGTGCCGCCCCCAAACAAAAAGCAACAGCCCGCAAAGTCACAGGCCTGAGGAGGAGCCCGAGGAGGAGGGGGGCAGGGTGCCGGGCTCTCCGGTGACCAGCTGAGGTTTCCTGAACCTCCTCCTGGGCCCCTCAGCCCCACTGGTAGCCTCTGATCCCAGGATTAAGGCCTCAACCACAGGAAAGTCTTAAGAGTCTGTGAGTCTTTGTTTTCTGTTTAAGAGGGGGGAAAAAAAACCAACAACCTGCTGCTGAATGTTAATTCACAAATGATTATAGTTAAGAAAGAGGGAAAGAAAAAAAAACACAGCACAGGTTGTGACAAGTCTAAAAATACTAAGAATACCATGGTTTCCCAGTAAGTAACTTGAGAATGTAGTTATTTTAATTGCGTTACCAAATATAGCTTCACCTTCCTAAATCTCACTGGCTACCCTCCATTCATGCAGAGAACATTCAAGAAAATCTGTCCCCTCTGCTAACTCTGCCTTTAAGTGTATATAAACAGAACCCAACAGTTTGTTTTTTCCAGAGCTGTGACTGGTGTTTCAGCTTCAACTTTTTTTTTTTTTTTTAAGTTTTGGGGCCATGCCTGGCAAAGTTCAGGATTTACCCCTGCCTCTGCACTCAGGAACCAGTCCTGGTTGTGCTCCGGAGACCCTATGGGATGCCAGGGATCAAACCCAGGTTGGCTGTATACAAGGCAAGCACCCTCCCTGCTATACTATCGACCCGGCCCTCAGTTTTATGTTATGACTTTTTCTTATCTTCAATGTTTTTTTTTTGTTTTTCCTCACTTCCATTTCCAGGAGCTGGTGGGGGGGAGGGGGTAGTGAAAATTCCACAATATTCTATTAGTTTGTTAGAAGGTCTGGCCCACAACCCGTGGTACCCGCTCAGGGTCTGCAGCTAGCTCTGTGTCTAAGAGGTCACTCTTGGAGGTGCTCAGGAAACCGGATGCCGTGTCAGGGATCAAACTCTGGTTGGCTGCGTGCAAGGCAAGCACCTTAACTCCTGTACGCTCTCTCTGACCCAGTATCTTGTATTCTTTTAAACTTTCAACACCTGACTGCTGAATATGTGCGTGCATAGCTTTGAACTATTAAGAATCTTTTATGAGAGGGCCAGAGCGATAATCCAGCACGTAGGTGTTTTGCTTTGCACACAGCTGACCGGGATCGAGACCTGACCTAGCACTCCTCTGGTCCCCCAAGCCCATCAGGAGTGGTCCCCTGAGCACAGAGGCAGGAGTAAGGCCTAAGCACCACCAGGTGTGGCCCAAAGGGGAGGGAGAGAGGGAGTCTCATAGGGCCGGGAGAGCACAGCAGCTAGGGTGTTTGCTTTGCACACAGCTGATCCGGGTTCAAGGGCTCTTGAACATGGCAGAAGTGATCCCTGAGCACAGAGCCTGGAGTAAGTCCCTGTGGGCCAAGCTCCTTCCCCACCAAAAAATTTTCTACGTTGAGTATCATCGACTCTTGACATGGTGAGGAACATAACCCATGGCTAGATGTCACTGTCCTCCCAATGTTCATCGATTTGCTCGAGCGGGCCCAGCAACATTGTGAGACTTCTTGTTACTGTGTTTGGCATATCGAATACGTCACGGGGAGCTTGCCAGGCTTTGCCGTGCGGGTGAGACACTCGGTAGCTTGCCGGGTTCTCTCTCTGAGAGGGACAGAGGAATCGAACTCGGGTCAGCCAAGTTGGCTGTGTACAAGGCAAAAATGCCCTACCCACTGTGCTATTGCTCCGGCCCAGAGATAAAATAAAGGCTATGATATGAAGAGCCTTCTAGAATCTTGCTCTATATTCAAGCTATATACAGAATATGTGTGTAAGAAATGTATATAAATAATTCTATTGAGAGATACCTACAGTCCCCAGAATATCAAGAAGCTGGAGAAAGGACCCCACGTAGAATGTATTTACTCCACCTAGAATACATACACACGTAAGTATCTATGAGGAGGATTTGGTCTGGCATATCTATGCTATATCCAGAATGTGTGTACGTGAGTGACTGCTATGTACTATCTCTGGAACACAAAGAATATATATAAAGAACACCACCCGGAATACAGGAATCTGATCCACAAAGAACTTTCTCGAAAGCCAACAGACACGCAGATGGCCGACACGGGAGAAAAGGCACACAGATACCGTCAGTGAGAAACAGGTCAAAATGTCCATGATCAACGCGGGGAGGGGGAGGAGGGGGAGGCCGCGTCCACTGTCCGGGGCCTGACCCCCAACCCCTCTCTGTGGAAACAGCATGCAGAGTTCAAAACAGGGAGAATTTTCATGTCTCAACGAAACCTTTTTTTTTTTTAAATATTTATTTATTTTTGCTTCTCGGGTCACACCCAGCGATGCACAGGGGCCACTCCTGGCTCTGCACTCAGGAACCACCCCTGGCCGTGCTTAGGGGACCCTATGGGATGCTGGGAATTGAACCCAGGTCGGCCACATGCAAGGCAAACGCCCTCCCCGCTGTGCTATTGCTCCAGCCATATAAATTTCTTATGTAATGGTTTACATAGACAAAAAAAAGATTAAGTGGGGGCTGGAGCGAGATAAGATAGAACAGCCTTGCACACAGCCAGCCCTGGGCTCAATCCAGCGCCATACATGACCCCCGAGGCCTAGGTGTGGCCCCAAAACCAAAAATGTAAAGACGATAGCTAACACTATACACAGGTTTTACTTTCAGCATGTCATTTACATGTAACCGAACTTAATACTGGAATATCCCAAGGGGGAAAAGTTTGTACATAATAGTTTTAAAACATACAGGGCCAGGGAAATAGTACAGAGGGTGGGCCCTTCTTGAATACTCTGACCCACATTTGATCCTGATCCCACTTAAGTCCCCGGAGCACCTTCAAGAGTTCGAGCACTGCCAGGTGTGGCCCAAAACACAAAAAGAAAAAAGAAATGTTTACATTACAACCATACCTTAAATTGCCTGGCATCATTTCAACAACAAACAACAACAAAAAAAATCTGTGTTTGGATTGGGGGGTAGGGGGCGTGGGAGGGATACTGGGATCCATGGTGGTGGGAAATGGACACTGATATAAAATATTTAAAAAAAAAAACTTAAAAAAAATCTGTGTTTGGGGCTAGAGCGATAGCACAGCAGGTAGGGCATTTGCTTTGCATGCAGCAGACCCGGGTTTGATTCCCAGCATCCCACATGGTCCCCCGAGCACCGCCAGGAGTAATTCCTGAGTGCATGAGCCAGGAGTAACCCCTGTGCAAAGCCGGGTGTGACCCAAGAAGCAAAAATAAATTAAAAATTGAAAAAAAATCTGTGTTTTAGGACCAAAAAAATGCTTTATTTTTGACAGGACTGGGACTAAGGTAGGCGTTACAAAAAGGTTCTCAAAAGAAAAAGGATTAACAACAGCCTTAATCATCCTACTATCATAAAGCACTTTAGGAAAGGGTCACTTTTGTGATTTTTTTTTTTTACTTTTGTGATTTAAAAAAAAATTTTTTTTATTGAGGGCTGGAGTGATAGCACAGCAGGTAGGGCATTTGCCTTGCACACGGCCAACCCGGGTTCGATTCCCAGCATCCCATATGGTCTCCCAGCACTGCCAGGAGTAGTTCCTGAGTGCAGAGTCAGGAGTAACCCCTGTGCATCGCCAGGTGTCACTCCCCACTCAGCAGAGCCTGGGAAGCTACCCGTGATGTATTCGATATGCCAAACACAGTAACAACAAAGTCTCCAATGGAGACATTACTGGGCCCGCTCGAGCAAATCGACGATCAACGGGAGGGCCAGAAAAAAAAAAAGTCAAAAAATTTTTTTTTCTTCATTTGCTTCTTGAATCACACCCTATGATGCTCAGGGGTTACCTGTGGGGGGGCGGGGGCTCAAGGGACCATATGGGATGCCCGGGATGGAACCCAGGTGATTTTAGATGAGATGAACATGGGACCAGAGCCATAGTCTGGCAGGTACTGAGTTTGTCTTGTACACGGGAACCAGATTTAATCCCCAGCACCCCATGTGGTCTCCCAAGCCTCCAGGAATGAGACCTGAGCACAGCACCGGAGCAAGCCCTGAGCACTGCTAGGTATGGTCCCCAAACCAATCGTTGAAGAATTTAAAAAGTAGAAGAGGTGAGCTTGGAAGATTGCCTTGGCAGAGGCTGACCTGAAAGTACAGGCCCTTGGCACCGCTTCTAGCTGGTGAGCCACAGTTAACATCTTCCTTTCTGAACACTAGCTCCCACCTTGAGGTGTGCGAGCGGTACCTGAGCCCAGGGCCTCCCACCAATGCAGCGAGCTCAAGATGGGTCACGAGGTCCCTCGGTGGGTGGATGGGATCCACTCATGTTTGGAAGTCTGGAGATTGAATGAAAAAGCCTGCTGGGTCGCGAAGGTATTCCAAACTCATAGGGACTAACAGGTCTGAGTCGGCTTTCTTGCTGACCACATTCCTTTATCAACTCCGGCCCATACCCGCGGCCCTGCACAATGAACCTTTTCTCCAGAACCGAACCCTCCATTTTATTTGGATCATGCTTTTGTTTGCTTGTTTTGGGGCCACACCCGGCAGTGCCTAGGGCTCACTCCTGGCTCTACACTCAGACGCTGTACTCAGGGGACTGTGTGGGGTGCCAAGCCCAGATGGGTCACACGTGAGGCAAGCACCCTGGCCCCTGTCCTGACCCCCGGCTCCCTGAGTTGTGCATTGTTCAATGCACCGGTTTTGTAGGTTTAGTATGGAATGCAGGAAACACAGGCCAGCAAACAAAGCCAGCCTAACCGCCTAGGAGGAAAAAAAAAATGCCAACCTCATGCTTTTTTTTCTGACACAAAAACACATCTAACAAATTGGGTCATACTACAGATAATCCAATTTTTCGCTTGCCACTGTAGGAGGATCCCTTCTGTTCTAGTAAACACATTCTTCAGGGCCGAAACTCGGTTTCTTCCAAGAAAGCCTTGTTTGAACTCAGAACAGGACGCTGGGGCCCGAGTGACAGTACAGCAGGGGAGTCACTTGCCTTGCATGCAGCTGACGAGGGTCCCGTCCCCAGACCTCATAGGGCCCTGAGCCTGCTAGGAGTGAGCACTGCTGAGCAGATCCAAACGACAAAACTGGACTCCAAGTCTGGTCCCTTTGGCTTTGGAATCACACACCTGGCTGAGCGCTCACTGGTCCTTGGTGTCGGCGCCGGAGGCTCATGCAGGCCAGAGGATGGGCCCTGGCCTGGGGCACCCCTTAAGCGACCTTTCCTGGCCCGGGACTCTGATTTAAAAAGCTGTGCCTGCAAGGTAGCTGAAGGTTCTAGTGAGACCTTTCCCTACCCTCATTCCACTTCCGGGCTGCTCAGGCCTTCCTGTCACTCAGCCTGCGCAAGGAAGCTATTGGCCCAGCTCCTGGGCCCAGGAATGCTGCCTCTGCCCTCAGCAGCTGCGCGAACAGTCCATCTATGGGCAACAGGCGGCCGCCGGGCACCTGCGCGTCCTCCTCCTCCTCCTCCTCCTTGCCTGAGCTCCCAGGCTGCAGGCCGGCTGCCCCGGGACCCCGCGGGTCTCCCCGGGAGGGACCGCCTGCAGCTCATTCCAGCGCCCAGCACAAACAAGCCTTTGCTCCCCAGTCTGCCCAGGGACACGCGTGCGTTGCCAGCGTGCCAGGCAGGGTGCAGACGCGCCCGTCACCCAGGCCGGGCTCCGAGGCCCAGGTTTCATCTGCAAAGTCCAAGCGCGCGAACGCACTGCAGGTGCGGGAGAGGGCCTGGCCTGAGCCCGCACAGTAATAGAGCAAACACGGGGAACAAGCTTCCTTCCGGGTCGGCTTGACAGGCCCGCTGACATCACCGCTGGGTCTTGGCCGCCTCCCTCCCTCCAGGGCCTTGAAGGGCCATCTGGCCTGGTTTTGCAGGGGTCCAGCCTGACCTTGAGCCCGAGGCACGTCCCCAGAGTGCCTTTCACGGGAAAGGGACAAGGCTCTCCCTCCAGATGCATTTTTATGTTGATTTTTTTTTTTTGCGTGGGTGTTGGGGGTGGGGCGAACCCGGCTGAACCCTCACTCCTGGGGGGCCGGGGCTCCAACCTAGGGCTCCTTACCAAGTGCTGGAGGGGGCGTGGGGGGGCCCTGTTCTCGGGCCTTTCGCGTTTCCCCGGCCCCGGGAGGAGGAGGCGGAGAAGCCCCCCTCCCGGGGAGGGGCGGGGGGGACCCGCGCCCGTCGTCGGTCGGTGAATCAGCCGCGACGCAGCGCCGCGCCCGGTGCGCTGCTGAGTCAAGTCCACGCGCGCCCGAGTCTGGGGCCCGGGGGGCCGGGATCGGGGAGGGTGGGGGGTGGGGACCAGAAACAGAACGCACCCGCGAGCCCCGCCGCCTCCGAACCCGCCCCGGGAGACGCCCCTCCCCCTCCCCACCGAGGGGATCCGCGCCCAGCCCGCCCTCACCCCCGCCGCCCCGGTGCCCGTGCCGCGCGCCGGGCGCGGACGCGGACGCCGGCGCGGGGGGCCCGGGAAGCCCCGGAAGGGCGGCGGGGCGGCGGCGTGACTCAGGCGCGGGGGCGGCGGGCGGCCGGGCCCGCAGGGGTTAAGTGGGCGGCGCCGCGGGGCCCGCCCCCCGCCCGCCCCGCCCGCCGCGCCCGCCCCCCGGAGGCCGCGGCGCGCCCGCGGCGGCCGTATTTAGCGCGGCGGGGCCGGGCGCGGCGCGTCCTGTCCCGCCGGCCCGGGCCGCGGCGTGCGTCCCGCCCGCCCCAGCGCGCCATGGAGCGGCCGGCGCCCCTGGCCGTGCTGCCCTTCTCGGACCCCGCGCACGCGCTGAGCCTGCTGCGCGGCCTGAGCCAGCTGCGCGCCGAGCGCAAGTTCCTCGACGTGACGCTGGAGGCGGCGGGCGGGCGCGACTTCCCCGCGCACCGCGCCGTGCTGGCGGCCGCCAGCCCCTACTTCCGCGCCATGTTCGCGGGCCAGCTGCGCGAGAGCCGCGCCGAGCGGGTGCGCCTGCACGGGGTGGCGCCCGACACGCTGCAGCTGCTGCTGGACTTCAGCTACACGGGCCGCGTGGCGGTGAGCGGCGACAACGCCGAGCCGCTGCTGCGCGCCGCCGACCTGCTGCAGTTCCCGGCCGTGAAGGAGGCGTGCGGCGCCTTCCTGCAGCAGCAGCTCGACCTGGCCAACTGCCTGGACATGCAGGACTTCGCCGAGGCCTTCAGCTGCGCGGGGCTGGCGAGCGCGGCGCAGCGCTTCATCCTGCGCCACGTGGGCGAGCTGGGCGCCGAGCAGCTGGAGCGCCTGCCGCTGGCGCGCCTGCTGCGCTACCTGCGCGACGACGGGCTCTGCGTGCCCAAGGAGGAGGCCGCCTACCAGCTGGCGCTGCGCTGGGTGCGCGCCGACGCGCCGCGCCGCGCCGCGCACTGGCCGCAGCTGCTCGAGGCCGTGCGCCTGCCCTTCGTGCGCCGCTTCTACCTGCTGGCGCACGTCGAGGCCGAGCCGCTCGTGGCGCGCTGCCCGCCCTGCCTGCGGCTGCTGCGCGAGGCGCGCGACTTCCAGGCGGCGCGCTACGACCGCCACGACCGCGGCCCGTGCCCCCGCATGCGCCCGCGGCCCTCCACGGGCCTGGCCGAGATCCTGGTGCTGGTGGGCGGCTGCGACCAGGACTGCGACGAGCTGGTCACGGTCGACTGCTACAACCCGCAGACGGGCCAGTGGCGCTACCTGGCCGAGTTCCCCGACCACCTGGGCGGCGGCTACAGCGTCGCGGCGCTGGGCAACGACATCTACGTGACGGGTGAGTGTGTGGGGGTGGGCGACGACATCATCTCCGTGTCGGGTGAGTGGGGGGTGCGGGGGACCCCTCCCTGCCCTTGGAGTCGAACCCCGGGTAGGCGCGCGCGCGCGTGTGCGCGCAGCCCCGAGCAGAACCTGCCCGGGGAGCGAGCGGGTGCTGCCACCCTGGGTGGCGGCGCCAGCCAGCCGGCCCGCCCGCCCGGGGACAGTCACACAATGGGCGCTTTTCATCCCGAAGGAATCCAGGGACAGCCCCGGGTTGGCCAGCCCCGTGAGCCATCCAGCCCACACTCGTTTGGTCATCCTCTGCCGGTGACAAGCCGCTTTTTTTGGGGGGGCGGGAGGGGGGAGGTGTCACATGGACGACCGGTACTGTAAACAGAGTCACATGCTGAGGTTGATCTTCCCGGGACTTGGCCCCAGCCCCCAAAGCCCTGCCGAGTCACGCGGGGCGGGTCCCCCGCACCCCACCCGGCTGCTTCTCCCACATTTTTGATTGCACAGAAATCCCTCTTGGGGGCTGGCGGCCGCCTCCTTCCCCGGGCGCCTGGGCGGGCGCTCCTGCAGCTATATAAGGAGAGAACTGTGTGAGCGCCTGGGGCCCTGGCGGGGGCTCTTATCTGCAGGGGTGCCCCCGGTGGCCTGCTCTGGAGATGCTGCGGCTTCTCGGAGCTGGCCAGGGCCTGGCTGGGCTCCCCTCGGGGACCCGCATTCAGAGAGTCGAGCACCCCAAACTGGTGTCCCAGCAGCTGTGCTTGGCGCGGGGACAGGTGCTTGCCCCAGGACTTTGCAGCGACTTAGAGCGTGTCCAGTCTGCTCTGGCCTGTGGCGCCAGCCGGGGGTCTAGGAATGCGGCCTCCCCGGAGGATCCTTGGGGTTCTGACACCCTAGCTCAGCCTGGCTACGTTTACACTTCCAGCAGTCCCTCTGTCTGTCTCCCCCCCTCCCCCACCCCGGGCTCCCTCTGGCAGAGCATGGAGGGCTGGTCCCATCCCACCTCCCTGCGGGTTCCCCACTCCCCTGCTCTAGGGCTCTCTAAACCAGACTGGAAGGTGAAGGACGGCTGGTGGCCAAGGCCAAGTGCTGACCACAGGCCGGGCAGGAGGCTGAACGAGTGTGACTCCCTGCAGCCCTTCTTGGTGTGACGTATTCAGGGAGGTGACCGAGTGTCCCTCGTCCGGGGCCAGCTGGCCTCTTTCCGAACTGAGCTTGAGGCGGCCAGCGGCTGGATCCGGAAAGGACCCCTGGTGGCGGGGCCTGGCCTATAGCCCTTTCCCTACTTTGCTTTCTGGCTCTCGTTGGCCGGGGGCTGTGTGTGTGTGAAGGGGGGCTATCCCTGTGCTCTGGCGCTGGGTGGGACCTGCTGTCCTAGTGGACGCTGGTCAGCGTGTGCAGGGTCCTTGCTCCAGACTGCTGTTTGCTTAGATCTGGCCTCAGGGCCTTTGCTCGGTTGCAGAGGTGGGATGTTCCTCCCATTTCCTGGGGTGCGGGTCTGGGGTGCCCCAGGGGATGTGAACTGATGTGGACCTTGTGAACCTTTCCGCAGGCGGGTCCGACGGCTCCCGGCTCTACGACTGCACGTGGCGATACAACTCGAGCGTGAACGAGTGGACGGAGGTGGCGCCCATGCTGAGGGCCCGCGAGTACCACAGCTCGGCGGTGCTGGATGGGCTGCTGTACGTGGTGGCCGCCGATAGCACCGAGCGCTACGACCACACCGCCGACTCTTGGGAGGCGCTGCAGCCCATGACCTACCCGCTGGACAACTGCTCCACCACTGCCTGCCGCGGCCGCCTCTACGCCATCGGCTCGCTGGCCGGCAAGGAGGCCATGGTGATGCAGTGCTACGACCCCGACGTCGACCTCTGGTCCCTGGTGGACTGCGGCCCACTCCCTCCCTGGTCCTTCGCCCCCAAGACGGTGACACTCAACGGACTCATGTACTTCATCAGGTGAGTCCCGGTGACAACGCGCAACCCTGGTCTCCCGGCTGCTCGGACGAGGCCCCGGGGCCCGGAACGCACGGCCTTGGTGGGCCTGGAGGGTTTCCTGCACCCCCGTTTCTCTTTTGCTTTTTGGGTCACACCCGGTGATGCTCAAGGTCACTCCTGGCTCTGAGCTCAGGAATTACTCCTGGCGGTTCTGGGGGGACCATATGGGATGTTGGGGACTGAACCTGGGTCTGCCTCGTGTGAGGCAGATACCCTCCCCACTGTGCTATCACCCTGGACCCCACTCCCCCACCCCCATTTCTCTTTGAGACACACCCAGTGGTGTTCAGGGGTTACTCCAGGCTCTGAGCTCACTCCTGGCAGTGCTCGGGGGACCTGTCACTGTCCTCCCGTTGTTCATCGATTTGCTCGAGTGGGCCCAATAACATTGTGAGACTTGTTACTGCGTTTGGCATATCGAATACATCATGGGGAGCTGCTTGCCAGGCTTTGCCGTGCAGGCGAGATACTCTCGGCAGCGTGCCGGGCTCTCCGATAGGGGCGGAGGAATCGAACTCGGGTTGGGGCATGTTGGCCGTGTGCAGGGCAAACGCCTACCCGCTCTGCTATCGTTCCAGCCTTGGGGGACCTTGTGGGGATCAAACCCGGCTTGGCCACATGCAGGGCAAGCCCCCTACCACTCTACTATCTCTCTGGCCCAACTCCCATTTCTTTTCTGGGAGGTCGAGCCTACAATGATGCTTGGAGCTGCTCTCATTTTTAGGGGGCTGTGGGTGCCCCCCGAGTAGTTCCCAGGGGTGGGAGGTATCCAGCCTGATGGTGCTGGAGGCAGCTGTCCTGAGGGTGGGAGGTTGGAGCACACTCAGCGGTGCTCGGGAATCACTCCTGGTGGGCCCAGGGGACCCTGTGTGGTGCCTGGGATTGAGCCTGGGTCCGCCCGAGGGGTTGGGTCATTTGTTGGCAGGCCGGGGCTCCTGAATGATGCTGGCTCAGCTCTGCCCTCTGCCGCTCCAGCCGCCTCTCGCCTGGTTTGGGTTTGGGTTTGGTTTCTTATAATGAAGGTGTCTGGTTGCTCTTCTTTTTTTTTTTTTTTTCCTTTATGGGTGACATCTGGCGATGTACGGGGGTTACTCATGGCTCTACACTCAGGAATTATCCCTGGCCGTGCTCAGGGGACCCTATGGGATGCTGGGAATCGAACCTGAGTCGACCACGTACAAGGCAAACGCCCTCCCCGCTGTGCTATCACTCCAGCCCCTTGGCTGCTCATCTTGGCTTCATTTAGGAGATCAAAACTGGGCTCCTCAACCAAGTTACAGCATGGCCCCTGGCTGAGCCTGGACACTCCACTGGGAGCTCTCGGCCTTTGGGAGGGGCCTGTCCATGCGGACCCCTGCCAGGTGGGAGCTTTCTGTGGAGACGACCTTGGCAGGGTCGCCCCTGCTGTTCACACCTGTGCCCAGGCCAGCTGGGCGGGGGTCAGGAGCCTTTTTGAGTGAATCCAAGGCCCCGTGGACAGGGCCAGTAGCTCGTGCTGCCTGTCCAGGATGGTTTGGGGGCAGGGCTGGAACCAGGACAACCGCCCAGTCCTCTGGGCAAGGTCATTCTGTCCCCAGACTGCAGCCTGCAGTAGAGGGGCATCTCCAGGACCCAGGTCTGCTCGGAATGCCCTGTCCAGAGCCTGCATGTTTGTGTGCATGTATATTATGTGTGCGTGTGCGTGTGCGTGTGTGTGTGTGTGTTGGGTTTGGGGCCACACCCGGCACAGGGGTTACTCATGGCTCTACGCCCGGGAGTTACTCCTGGCAGTACTTTGGGGGACCCTATGGGGTGCCGGGGGTGGAACAAGCATTGTCCCCACTGCCCATCTGAGCCTGCCCGAGTCTGGTCCGGGAGGGGTGGTGTGCTGAGAACTGTGGCTCCACCTTTGCCCCCTGACCCCCTTGGCCTCGCTGCCCCCGCGCGCGCACTCAGTGCTCCATCCCAGGTCTAGAGGGGGGTGGAACAGAAGGTCTCGTCCCGAGGGTCGGCTCCCAGGCAGTGCCCCATCTGCTGAACCACGCACGCCCCTCCCCCAAGCGGCGGGTATCTCCCTCCGGCTATAAATAGCAGTCCCCATGGTCCTCTGCCCCTGTGAGAAGGGCCCTGGCCTGCTCCCTTGTCTCCTACCCGGCCACCCTGAGCCGCCTGGGGCAGAGCCCTCTCCTTGGCCGTGACCCCAGGACCTCCTGCTGGATCTCACCTCCCCAGACCCCCCAGTGCAGGTGGGCAGAGAGGGGCTGGCAGCGGTGGGCCTCCTCTCTGACAGGTGCTGCGATTTCTGGTGCCTCTTCCTGGCTCTGGGCTCAGGAGACGCCTTTCTCGGGGGGCTTGGGGGGGCCCGTGTCTTGTAGACTGGGTGAGCTGTGTATAGCTTCTTTTTTTTTTTTTTTTTTTTTTTTGCTTTTTTGGGTCACACCCAGTGATGCTCAGGGGTTACTCCTGGCTCTGCACTCAGGAATTACTCCTGGTGGTGCTCGGGGGACCATATGGGATGTTGGGATTCGAACTCAGGTCTGCCACATGCAAGGCAGATGCCCTACCCGTTGTGCTATCGCTCCAGCCCCTGTGTACGGCTTCTTCATCCACTGTCTCCGGCCCCTTGGTGAGGGGTGGGTGGCCACATCCGGCGCTACCCAGAACTGCCTCTGGGCGCTCTCATCAGGTGTCACTCCCAGCGGGCTCGGGAGACCGTCTGGGATGCTGGGCGTCAAACCCGTGTCAGCCACACGCCAGGCAAGCACCTCGCCTGCTGTACTGTCTCCAGCCCTCTGCTTTTGAAGGTTCTTTGGTTCGGGTTTTGGTTTGAGTGCACCCCAGGGTGGGACTGTCACACCACCTTAGGGCCCTGTGGGGTTCCTGTCCAATGGCACTTGCTCCGCTCCCTTCAGCAGCTTGACCCTCTCCGGGCCAGGCTTCCATTTTCTCTGGGGGCGTATTTTGGAGCGACAGGGTGGGCTTCTGTTTCCCGGCACACGGATGTTTAGGTCAGCCCCCGTTTCTGCAGTGACGTTGGCTGGGGCCCCAATAGCTGCTGTTCTATGTCTGTACCTGCAGGGACCGCGGGCTTGGTGCCCTGGCCCCCTGCGCCTCCGTCCCCTCGTACCCCGAGGTGCTGCCTGCTGACTGACCTCGCTCTTCCTCTCTTTTGTATTTTGCGGGGTGCTGGAGGGCCGTGATTGAACTTGGGGTCTCGCCACGCTGCACCCCTTGTCCTGTTGCAGTTTTGGGTTGCTATCCATGCTTGGAGGGTGAAGCCTGCGCCCAGAGGGAGGGTCTCTCCATTCTGTGACTGATGGTTTTTCTTTTTTTTTTTTTGCTTTTTGGGTCACACCCAGCGATGCTCAGGAATAACTCCTGGCAGCATTTGGGGGACTGTATGGGATGCTGGGGATCGAACCCAGGTCAGCCGCATGCTATCACTCTGACCCTGACTGATTGTTTTTCTGCCAGTGACCAAGGACATGGCAGTGGATGAGACAGAAAGTGGGGGGCAGGGACCCCCCGGGACAGGAGCATGTGGACCTGTGAGGGGCAGTAGGGCAGGATACCTGGCAATCAGCTACGGGGGGCCGTGGGGGTCCAGGGCATCAGTGTGGCCCCCGCGCAGGGTTGAGGGGAGTAAGGCCTGGGCTGGGCTGAGCTGGGCAGGGCTGGCGGGGGCCTCAGGAGAGGGCATTTGCTAGATGCCCACTTGACCTACTCCCCACCCCTAGGGATGACTCGGCCGAAGTGGACGTGTATAGCCCTGCCAAGAATGAGTGGAGCACCATCCCAGCCATGAACCAGGTGAGTACCGCACTGCCACTGCTCACCGGGGAGAGCCTAGAGGGAGGGCCACAGACAGACCTGTGCCCCTGGGGCCACCCAGTGTAGCGGCCACAGCCCAAGGCCCAGGCTTCATGAGCCACGTTACACTGGGCATGTTGGCAGGTGCAAAGGGCCTGGGGCAGGGATGTGGCCAGTCCAGCTCACAGATGGTCCCGGGGGATAACCTGGAAATAGGCTCGGTGAGTTACCTGCCTTGCTCCGAATAGAACCCCCACCCCCGGGCAGTGGTCCTGCCACAGTTCGCCAGGAGTGATCCCTGAGTGCAGAGCCAAGAGTCAGCCCTTAGCACAGCCGGTGTGGCCCCCAAATAAAACAAAGAACACCCCAACTGGAGGCAGGGAGTTGAGTCCCACTCAGTTCCCTGCACTTACGGGACCTATGTGCTTAGGGGGCACCCAGGCCACCCTTTTTTTTTTTTTTTTTTGGCTTTTTGGCAATGCTCAGGGATTACTCCTGACTCTGCACTCAGGATTTTCTCCTGGCGGTGCTTGGGGGACCATATGGGATGCTGGCAATCGAACCCGGGTTGGACACATGCAAGGAGAACCCCTCCTCGCTGTGCTATGGCTCAGGCCCAGGGCCGCCCCTTTTCCTAGCTGGGATGTGGGTGGGGCTGCCACTGGCCTGCCCAGCCCGCAACCCCCTGGGAAGCCTCAAGCTCAGGTCACAGCCCTGCCCCCAGGAAGCACTTCTGGGCCGCCCCTCTGGGGCTGTGGGGAGCGATGACTCCCGGGGGGTTCCCCGGCCGCCTCCTGACCCCGTCCCGCTCACCCTCTGTCCGTCTGTCCGCAGGTGCACGTGGGGGGCAGCCTGGCCGTGCTCGGAGGGAAGCTATACGTCTCGGGAGGCTATGACAACACCTTTGAACTCTCGGACGTGGTGGAGGCTTATGACCCCGAGACGCGGGCCTGGAGCGTGGTGGGCCGCCTCCCCGAACCCACCTTCTGGCATGGCAGCGTCAGTATCTTCCGCCAGTTTATGCCCCAGACGCCGTCGGGTGGACGTGGCTTCGAGCTGGACAGTGGCCGCAGTGACCTGGACCCCGGCCGGCCAGGGCTGCCCCGGAACCCGCACGAGCCACACTAGCCCCGGTATGGCCCAGGGAGGGCCTTGAGCAGGCGACGGGCACCCCTGGGGCACAGTGAGCCCTATCTCCGGTGCTCAAGGCCGGGGGCGTCCCTGCCCAGCCGGCGCCTGGCCGGCTGCCCGTGCCCTCCCTGGGTCGAGGAGGAACTGGACCCCGTGCTGGCCAGCCAGCAAGCCCTCCTCAGCTCCCTGCGGCCGGAGGGGCCCACACGCCCGCCCCCTGTCCTGGGCTGCGAGGGGGCCATGACCGAGCCAGGACACAGCCCAAGGGCCTCGAGGACCTGCTGAGATTCTGGCCTGGAGACCGGCTAAGCCACAGGGGCCCGCCTAGGCCGCCTCCATCTGAGGTGCTTGGGGTTCCTGCAGATGGAGACTGCCAAACGGCCCCACAGCTTCCAGAGGTCTTCGTGTTCTCCAGGAGGTGCAGCATGTCTATGCCTTGGGGAGGTCTTGTTCCCCCCAAGTAGCGTCTCCACACTGGGTGGAAGCAGGTGAGGGCCGAGCTGCCCCACATGGGAGTGGGCAGAGTTTGTGACCAGGGGATCCGCCAGCACTGCCCTGGGCTGGGCACAGAAATACATGTCGCTGTTTCAGAACTCTTGGCAGCCAGTTTTGGTGTCATCTCTTAAAACTGGCACTTGGGAGCCGCAGAGCGCCTAAGAGAAGACGCTTGCATGCAGCTCGCCCAGGCCTGGTCCCTGGCGCTAGTGTCTGAGCACTGCCGGGTATGCCACCGCTGCCCCGAGAAAGGAGAAATCTTGTCCTAGGCGCATTCCTCCACGGGGGTGGTTGTGGGGAATACGAGCTGCCCCTCTCCGGGACGCCTGGCTGTGGGGCCATTTGCCCCCTCTGCCCACCCCTCTTGGGTGGCGTAGCTGAGATTACGCCTCCTGCTCTCAGGCTCCCCCAAAACCCCTCAGACCCTACCCTCCCCCCCCCCCCCCAGGTCTCTGCTCAAGCCACAGGAATCGCTTTGCTTCCCAGCTGGCTGAGTTGGTTGTGGGGTAACCAGGAGGCCCCCTCTGTGGGCAGTTGCAGAGGTTCCACAGGTATGGATGGGAATCGGCTGGTGACCAGCACCTGGGTCCAGGCTGGGGGCCTCTTCCCTCCAGGCTGGCTGGCCACAGCCCGAGTCTGGACACACACCAGAACATCACGTAGGAAGTGGGCTCCAGGCCCAGCCCCGCACCTCGGCCCTGGCCGCCCTCCACTGGCACTCGGGGAGGAGTTAGGACACACTAAGTTATGAAATGGTGACGCGTATTTAAGTGGTCTCTAGTGGATTCTGTATTTATGTGCCCGGCCCAGGGCGGTGCTGGCGGGTCCCACTGCAGGGCCCGTCTCCAGCTCAAGGCCACGGGGCACCTTAGACACTTTTTGAAATAAAGCAATTTCCTAGACCCTGGGTCTGGTCTGAACACCTTCCTGCACACTGTGGGGGGCCCCTTGGAGGGGAGACTCGAAAGTTACCAGGTAGCTGCCCCAGTTGGCTGCGGGGGGGCTACTCTGGGGCAAGGCTCCAGGGAGCATATGGGGGATCCTTTGTTGTCTTTGAGCCACCCCGGAATGCTCAGGGAGGCACCTGGCCAAGCGCACACAAGGTGGCCCTCCCCACGGGGGAGCTGGTGGTGGGCCTGGGAATGATATGTGTCCTCGCGGGGGTGGGGGGGGGGGTGCTCCTTGGCCTGAGAGCCCCTGCAGCTGCCCTAGTGGGCAGGCAGGGTTGCAGCAGCTGCTCCTCACGGCCCCCTCTGCTCCCCATTTCCCAAGAGACATAGAGCAGCTGTCCTGGGCTGAGTTCCGGGACATTAGCTCTTCCGGGCATGCCAGCCCTGGAAGGGTGCCTGGGCAGAGAAGGCACTGCCCAGGCCATGCCCAGCCCTCCGAGGGAGCCGGCCCTGGGCACTGGGTGGCAGTGACAAGGTTTCAAACCCCTTAGTCCCGGTCTGTGCAGAGACAGCTCCCCGAACGCGCCCGGCGGCAGGACCCCACCTCGGGGGAGCCTGGGTTTGGGACTAAGGCCACTGCTGAGCGGGAGCCACGGATTTATTGGGGGGGGGGGCTACGTGTCACAGTCCTCGGGGATGGTGGCAGTGATAAGGAGGGGGGGCACGGGGACGCCGGGCTCGGGCAGCTGGGCCAGGCCACCCTGAGCCAGGGACTCCACGATGACCTCGGCCGAGCCCACCTCCAGCTCGGCGGGCGGCTGCAGGGCCACCACCACCTTCTCGTCCTCGATGACCAGGTTGCGGAGCTTGCGCTGGCGCGGGTTGTAGTTCTCCACGCGGTCGTGGATCTCCATGTGCCTCCGCAGGTGCGCCTGGGGCGAGGGGTGAGGGGTGAGGGTCCGGGCAAGGGCTATGGGGAGGCAGGGGAGGGGGTACTGGGAGGAATCGGGGGGCTGCAGGGTATACCTGGCGGGTGAACTTGTAGCCGCACTCGGTGCACTCGAACTTCCTGACCCCTTTGTGCCGCCGGACATGGACACGCAGCTGTTCCACGGCTGGGGAGGGAAATGCCCACATGAGGCGGCAGGACGGGGCAGCAAGGCAAAGTATCCCGCGTCCAGGGCCAGCCACGCTGCCAGGCTGTCCTGGCCCCCGGGAGCCGTCCCCCCCCACAGCGGCCACGGCAGCCAGGCCAGCTGTGTAGCCTGACGGCCACCGAGGCCCGGAGGGGCCGGGGCAGCCGTGGCCTCACCTTTGAAGGTCTTCCCGCAGATCTGGCAGAAGTGCGGGCGGCCCTCCTGGTGGCGGCTGGCCACGTGCCGCAGCAGCGGCCCCTTCTCCGTGAAGCGCTGCTCGCAGAACTCGCAGCTGAAGGGCCGCTCGCCCGTGTGGGTGCGGTTGTGCTTGTCCAGGCTGGCTGTGGGGGCGGGGTGGGGGCTCAGCCTAGGTCCTGGGGGGGACACCGGACCCAGGAAGGGGACATGGCGGGGGCCCGGCCTCACCTTGGGTGCGGAAGGTCTTGCCACACAGGTGGCACTGGAAGGGCTTCTCGCCCGTGTGCGTGCGCAGGTGCATGTTGAGGTTGGCCTTCTGGGTGAACGCGTGGCTGCAGAACTCGCAGACGTACGGCCTCTCGTTCCTGCCCGGGGAAGGGACACGGGCCGTCACCCGCTGAGGCGGCCGGAAGCACACCTGCCCCAGGAAGCCCACACCCTCCTGGGCACTATGTCCGGGGCTGTGCCGGCCGCCTGTCGGGGCCAAGGACTGGACAGGGTCGGTGATCGCCTGGGGGTCCCGGGGAGCAAAACTTGTCCCAAAGTGCGAGAGCCTTAGTGCATACAGCCGGCCCAGGTTAGGTCCCCACCCCACCCCCCCCAGTGGTCCTGAGCCCCCATCCCCCCAGAGTGATCCCTGAGTCAGCCCTGAGCACCGCTGGACAAGGCCCCAAAACAAAACCCCAAATCCTCCCGGGAGACCTAGCGCCGGAGTCAGCCTGGAGCCCGTCCCTGACCAGCACCCCCGGCCACCCATCCGCCCTCAGGCCCACCTGTGCTTGGCCTTAATGTGCATCTGCAGGCCGTTGCGGCTCGAGGCCCGGTGCCCACACTCCTCACACACGAACAGCTTCTCCCCGCGGTGCTTGAAGGCCTCGTGCAGCTGCAGCTCCGTGCGCGACAGGAAGCACTTGGCGCAGGCGGGACACTGTGGCAGAGAGGGGCCATGAGCACCGGGGCGGTGGGGGGGGGGAGAGGTGGGGGGGACCGGGACCCCCACCAGGGGCGGCGGGTGCTTACGGCGTGGGGCTTGGGCGCGCCGTGCAGCTTGATCATGTGGCTCTGCAGGTCCTTCTTCTGCATGAACTGCTGGGAGCAGGACGAGCACTGCGGGACAGCCCTGCCATCAGCCCCGTCAGCCTCCTGTGCCGCCCCCCACCCCTGCCCCCAAGCCCGGGAGGCGGGACTGCCTGCCCCACCTTGTAGGGCATCTCGCCTGTGTGCGACACCATGTGCAGCCGCAGCTCCATCCGCCGGCGGAAGGACTCCTGGCACACGGAGCACGAGAAGACCTGGCGGGGACACAGGACGAGTGGGGCAGCACCTCCAGCCACCCTGTGGCCTTTTTTTTTTTTGCTTTTTGGGTCACACCTGGCAATGCACAGGGGTTACTCCTGGCTCTGCGCTCAGGAATTACCCCCGGTGATGCTCAGGGGACCATATGGGATGCTGGGAATCGAACCTGGGTCAGCCGCATGCAAGGCAAACGCCCTACCCGCTGTGCTATCGCTCCAGTCCCTTGTGGCCTTTCTCGCCAGCCTCCCCCACCCCTTCCCCAAAGCAAAGTCCCGGGGGCAGGAGAGGAACCCCCCCCACCCCGGCCCGACCAAGCTGCCTGGCAGGAGGGGCGACTACCCACAACACCCCACCTGGGCCCGTTCCTTCGTGCCGGGGCCTGCATCCACTTGTCATAGCAGGAATGAACTCGCTGGCTTGCAGCTCTCGGGGTCCCCATCCCCTGAGATGGGTCAGGCCCACGGGGGGGGGGGATCTCGGCCCCCATACCTGTTCTGAGCGGTTCACGCAATTCCGGGCTTCGTGTTCCAGGAGGTTCTCCTTCCGGAAGTAACACTTGCCGCATTTGGGGCATTCGAAGGGCTTCTCCCCAGTGTGTTTCCTGTCGAAGCCACAGGCAGTCTGGTGGGGGGGGTTGCACAGAGGACCCGCTGCCCCCACCCCCCCGCCCCACTCACTGGGAACTCCCCACGATCCATCAGAGAGCCCCGGGCCTTCTGTGGGAAAGCCAGGGCAACATAATAACGAAAAAGGGTCAGGGCTGGAGCAACAGCACCGCGGGGAGGGCGCTTGCTCTACACACGGCCAACCCGGGCCTAGCCCCCGGACCCCAAAGGGTCCCCAAGTCTAGCAGGAGTGACCCCTAGGCACAGGGCCAGGAGGGCCTGAGCACCACCAGGTGTGGCCCCAAAAGCAAAGTAGTAAGACAGTCACTGTCACGGTCCTCCCGTTGATCGTCGATTTGCTCGAGCGGGCCCAGTAACGTCTCCATTGGAGACTTTGTTGTTACTGTGTCTGGCATATCGAATACGTCACGGGGAGCTTGCCAGGCTCTGCCGTACGGGCGAGATACTCTCGGTAGCTTGCCGGGCTCTCCGAGAGGGGCGGAGGAATCGAACTCGGGTCGGCCATGTTGGCTGCGTGCAAGGCAAACGCCCTACCGCTGTGCTATCGCTCCAGTCCAGTAAGACAGTAAAGAAAAATATTTCAAGGGTTGGAGAGATAGCACAGCGTCTTGCATGCAGCTGACCCGGGTTCGATTCCCAGCATCGCATATGGTCCCCTGAGCACTGCCAGGAGTAACTACTGAGTGCAAAGCCAGGAGTAACCCCTGTACATCGCCAGGTGTGACCCAGAAAGAAAAAAAAATTTTCAAAGGCACAGGTGATTTTATCTTACGCAGGGGGTGGGGCACACACACTTGGGGCTACTCCTGGGGGAACTCGGAGAACCCTGGGGTGTCAGGGTGGGCCTCAGGGAAGGAAATGCCCTACCCGTGTGCTGTTACTCAGGCAGGGCACCTGCCTCCCACATGGCTGACCAGGGCTCCATCTCAGCACCTAATGCAGTTCCCCTGGGCACCAAGTGTGGCCCCTGAATCAAAACCTAAACAAGCGCAGCAGACCCTCCACCTGCAGGATCATGGCCTCTGGGACACGCTCCCTGCCAGCTCCCCCTGCACCCTGAGGACGGCAGGCCCCTTGCCCTGCTCCCAGGTCTCCCCCCCACCCCCCACTCTCTCCCTCCCACTGCACGGCCACCACCTGCCCCGCTCCTGCCTGCTGAGCCCGTGGGCCCAGGCCAGCGCCGCTCTGGTCATCACCGCGTCCCCGTGGAACTGTGGGCCAGCTGGCAGGCAGCTCACCGGCAAACAGCCGTCAGCCCCGACAGCGGCTCTTACCAACAGCACGGCCTCGGCCACTGCACCAAGCACCTGCCTCCCGGTCCAGGGGGCCACTCACAGGCCTCGTCGACAGGTGACCCCTGGCCTGTGACCCACAGCCAGGGCAGCGCGGAGGCGGTGGAGCCCCGAGACTGGCACGCTGAGGGCGTCCGGGCCTGCCCTGCTCAGGGGCCGACACGCCGGACCCCAGCGCCTGCTCCTTCTCACACGCTGGCCTGGCCTTCCAGCTGGCCGCTTGCCTGCCCACTGCCCTGACAGGCCTTGCCTGGAACAGTGGCGTCCCGGGGGATGCAGTCTCAGAAACAATCTGTCCCTGCCTGTCCCCCTCGGCGGGAAAGCGGTGACCACACAGAAAGCCCCAGGCCTCAGCCTCACCGCCGTTACAGGCAACCGCCGCAAGCAGGGGGGCCGGGGTTCAACCCAGCACCGCCTGGTCTCCCGCTCACCCCGAAGGGCGACTCTCTCAGCAGCTGAGCCACGAGCAGCCCTGAGTCAGCGACACGGAGCCTTCCCAGGCATCAGCTGCCTGGCCCAGACACTGGTTCCCGGGGCCAGACATATAGCACAGCAGTCAAGGAGCTCACCTTGCACACCGCTGACCCGGGTTCCATCCCTGGCACCCGATTTGGCTGCCCAAGCCTGTCGAGAGTGATCCCTGAGCACCAGTGGGTACTTCCCCCATGAGAAGGCAAGGCTGTACCTTCCGACTTTCAACAATATGATTTTTGCCCTTTTGAAGGGGCACACAAGGGATGTGCAGGGCTGAGGCCAGGCACCCGACCACGTGCCAGGCAACCGCACCCCGTGCCAGCCTCGAAGAGCAGCCGAGCGGCCACGGTCCGCCCTCCGCCTGCCCCTCCCTTCTCCCACAAACACGAGTGGCACCAACCAAGAGCCGGCTCGGACCCTGCACCCAAGGCATCGCCCAGAGCTTAGGAAGTGCCAAAGTCACAGCTGGTCCCACATGGGAACCCAGGACCTCGCGCCACCCACAGGCGCAGAAGACAGCAGAGGCCAAGGTCCCCGGGGGTGGAGCCAGACAGCCTGACCGTCAGGCCCACTCGGACCAGCCGGTCCTGGCCACCAACCCCCCTCCCCGCTGCCCCCGTGGGGACGCAGCAGACAGAAAGAGCAGGATTACCTGTTGTGGACCTTCAGGTAGTATTTGCTGAGGAACTTCTTATGACACGTGGGGCACTCAACCGGCACGGTGGCACCTCTGCTGCTGTCCCCGGGCTGACGGAAGGCTTCCGCCTTCCTCCGGGCAGGCACCATCTCGGGCTCCGTCTCGGACACATAGTCCCCATCGTCGTCCTCCACCTGGACCACCACTTCCCACTAGGGTAGAAGAGTCGGGTCAAGCGCCAAGGCCACCCAGTCATTGGCAGGCAGTGGGCGGACACTTCCCCAGCCTGTCCCTCGAAGATTGTGGCCCGGGTTTGATGGGGGGTAAGTCTGGCTGGCTTTCACGCCCCAGGGGAACACTGGCCCACTCGATCCAAAATTTGACAGCACAGAGCTGGGAGCCGCAGAAGGCTGGCCTGAGGCTCCCCGATACTGCGGAAACCGCTTTCTAAGCCCACCCAGCAGGGTTCTACGGAGGTCCAGGGCGATGGTACAGCAGGCAGGTTCAATTCCTGGCAGCCCATATGGTTCCCCCAAGAGCAGAGGCAGGGGTGAGCCCTGAGCACTGCAGGGTGTGGCCCCAAACCAACCAACCAACCCTGGGACAACCTCGGCAATGGCACCCCCCCAACTCCGGCCCCTTACCTCATTGCTACCGCCCTGCAGCGGGGCATCCTCTGCCTCAAAGGGCCGCGGGGCCACTTTGCAATCCTCAGGCTCCTTGTCGCCATCGGGGGGACACAGCTTCAGGGCCGACTTGAGTTTCCCGCGGAGGAAGGTGGGGTTCTCACTCTGCGTGGAGACGCCAGGTGGAGCCCGGCTGCCACCCAACTCCTGCTCCTTGGGGACATGACCCAGAGTCCTGGCCACTTCCTCCTCCTCCTCCTCCTCCTCCAGGCCTGCCGGCTCCTGGAGATGGCTGTGCCCGCCACCACGGGGCACAGGTCTGCCCAGCCCACCAGCTGCCTGGCCTGCAGTCGCGTGGGGCTTGAAGCTCTGACACAGTTCCACCACCTCGGGCACCCGCAGCTCCCTGGCCGCCAGCAGCACCTGGTCCCGGTTCCCGGAGGTGAGGGCCAAGTGGCCCGTGTAGAAAAAGTCCAGTAGGAGGCCGAAGATCTCCGCGAAGACGGCTGGGAGTACGACACTGCCCCCCGCGCCCTCCCCGGACAGGCTCTGGAAGAAGTGGCTGCAGCAGGCCAGCACACTCCAGTGGGCTTTGAACACCAGGCCCCCCACGTCCAGGGTGGCGTCGCAGTACTGGCCCTTCTCCCGCTGTTTGTTGAGCTCCTGCAGGACCCTCACACTATGCTGCACGAAGGAGCCATCCATGGTCCCTGGGGGAGGCAGCAGCCACTGCGCCGAGGGCAAATCCTGCAAGGGAGCAGAAGGAAAAGGTGCGACGTGGCCTCTGCACCGTCACACCGGGCTGGACCAGGGCTCGGGTCAAGGTTAGAGCATGCACGAGGCGGCGGCCAGCACCGGGGTGCAAGGCCCCTGGGGGAGGGGGCGCAACCCCCCCGGAAGACTTGGCGAGGAGCGCGGGGAGCACGTAGGGCGCAGCGCAGGCGGATTGGCAGGCAGCAACGGGGCCAGCGGGCAGGGCAGGGCAGATTGCATGGACGGCCAGCATAGGAGAGGGCGGTGGAGGGGTGCAGGGCTTGCAACCCCAGTCCGGGAGGAGGGGCGAGCATGCACTGAGCGCCCCGGCGCGCCCGGGCCCGGCGGCCGACAGGTGAGCGGAAGGGGCGGCCGCTGTCAGCCGCCGCAGCACCTCGCCGCTCTCTCTCCCTTCCCCCCGACCCGCGCCTCCCCCCAGCCCCGCGCCGCTCCTGCCCGCGGCGGCCCCGCGACCCCGCCGGCACCTCCCCCCACCTAACTGCCCGGGCCGGACGCGCCCGCAGTCCGCGGCCGAGACGCCTTCGCGGCCGCCGCCGGACGTGACGTCAGGGCGCCCGGCGGGGCGGGGCGCCGCCGAGGCCGGAGGCTTCTGGGGGCGGGGCCGCAGCGACCACGGCCAATAGCGTGTCGGATCCGGCGGGTAGGCGTGGCCATGCCTCGCGCCGCGGGCCCGCCTTCTGGGGTTGCCTAGCGACGCCGAAGAGGACGCCGCTTTCTCCGCGGTGCTCCCGGTCGCCCAGCTCTGCGCCCTAGCCAGGAGGGCTGGCGGCGCTGAGGTCCACGGTTCGCTTATTTATTGGCAACTGGGAGCCCGGGGGTGTCCTCGTGAGCTTACCCTTCCCAAGCCTGAGGAAATGTAAGGGCCACAGAGACCTCCCCAGCCCCCACTAACTTCTTCGTCCGGTCTCTGACCATCAAGGCCCAGTCCGGATTTGGCCCTGCAGAACAGGGGTCAGGCGGAGCAGGAGATGCACATGTGGCCCTGAGTGGGGGGCCTGAGCACTCCGCCCGCACTGGTCGTGGGGGCGGAGCATCATCAGGCGATGATGAATTTACAGAGCCACCCTCTGCCCATCGCTGCCCGCGCATGGGCCCCCGCCCCTGTGCAGTGGACACTCATCTGAAGTGGGGCATCCGGGACCAGGACTCGAGCAGGGGGGCAGGCTGCAGGAGGTATATATATATATTAAAGGCTAGGCAAGCATCCTTAAAATGTTCCAGAGTCAGTTTTGTTTCAAATCACTTATCACTTAACTTCCCGTTAGTCGTCGATTTGCTCGAGCGGGCGCCAGTAACGTCTCCATTTGTCCCTGTCGCGTGCTAGTGTAGCCCAATGGCATCTCTTCGCTCCGGGAACATGGAGGGCCTCAAACCGATCGTTCATGATCTTGACAAAGAAGTCTGACCATCTGGTAGGTGGGCGGCCACGCGGTCTCTTGACATCCCGTGGAATCCAATCAGTAACAGCTCTAGTCCAACGGTCGTCTTTAAATCTCATTACGTGACCAGCCCATCTGATTTTCGACACCTTGGCATATGAGACAGCGTCCCTGATCCTTGATCGTCGACGGATGTCAGAACTCCGGATTCGTTCTCTCATGAATGAATCAATGAATCAATGAATCAATGCTCTTGGCCAAGTTTGTGTTGACAAGGACACCGACGCCTCCAACACCTCTTTTATCGCATGTTCCGAGGAACAATTCTTCTCCGGTGTCGAAAACGGCATGGTGAGATTCGTGCCTTCTTGTCTCGGTCAGACCAATGATGTCGTACTTGATCATTCGCGCTTGTACCATCAGGTCCTCCATGGATGCATCTGATGCTAGCGTACGTGCATTGAAAGTACAGACGATCATTTTTGTCTTCCTTCGTTGTGGCAGCCTAGGTCGGCCTTGAGATTTTGTCGGCCTCTCCTTTCTCATCCTTCTCAGTGCTGCCATGTCGGTGAAGCCTTCAGGGTCAGGTGAATGAGACCAGTTGTAGTTACTGGTTTTGGCATATCGAATACACAGCGGATAGCTTGCCAGGCTCTTCCGTGCGGGCGGAATACTCTCGGTAGCTTGCCAGTCTTTCCGAGAGGTATAGAGGCTTTTGGGGTGACCTCTAATCACAGTTGCCTGTTTCAAATGGAGCAGGCATTTATTAGCTGGCCAGCGACAGCTCTCAAGCCCAGCCGGGCGAGAGAAGCAGTATTGAGAGCAAAATGTAAGGCAACTTGTAGCCTGGAATTTCACTTAAGTACGCAGGTTGCAAGAAGCCAGAAAGTAGAGCTAAGTTAGTGAATCTTGCATCCTCCAAGCCAACCTGGTCACAGCGTAATTACTCAGGCCCCATCCTAAAAACAGGTGCTTCGAGGCCTTTGTTGTGGGAACAGGGCGCCCTGTATTAATTTCCCACTTGTGTTTTTGTGATAATTTCCTGATCCTGCCGAGAGACCAAGAGGTTCCTAGACCCGCAGCTGCAGACGGAGGTTTTTGCCGGGAGGAAAGCCTGGTGTCTCAGGTGACCTGTGGGCCCACATCCCCCTCTATGAGCTAAACACCTGGGCCTCAGACACGCCGGTGCCTGAGGGTGCATCCGGGCACGGTGGAGTGTGGACACTCTGGCAGAAAGATGACTAGTTGGAAGGAGCGATTGTCAGGAGGACAGAGAGATACCAGCCCCAGGGCAAAGACGCTCCCTGGGCAGCTGTGCACAGCAGCTGGGCTGCCCACACACACCCAAGATGTTGCAACCCAGTCCCGGGTGCCAGCTGTCCCAGCGGCCTCGGTGTATTCAGATGAGCACGCACCTACCTAGTCAGAAAGCCTCAGAGTGGTGGGGGGAGGTCTGGCTTTCCAGGGCCCTCTCTGCTCCCCTCTGCGTTCCAGGACACCCCTAATGCTAGAGGGGTGCAGGCTGATGAGAAGCCCCTGATTATGCAAGTAGGGTGCAAAGACTGGGCTCTGCTAGCCAGGGTTGGGGGCCCCCGTGCTAAGCGTGTATGAATCACTGAGACACCAGCCTTTCCAGAACCTTCTTCCTAGTGGCCAGGGTGGAACTGGGTTCTCCCCAGATGAGGGGTACTCCACATGCTGTTTTCTTCCCATGCCTGTGGGTGTGACCCACAGTTACTGAGACACAGCAGCCTTTCCGGAACCTTCCTCCTCTGGCCAGGAATGAAGCTCAGACACTTTGCATGCAGGAGACTTGTATTGGATGCCCCACAATGGCCCAAAAATTTTTGATTAAACAAAGTAGAGAGAGAGAAACGTGGAAATCATCTGCCCCACAGGTAAGGGGAGGGTTTGGGATAGGGGTATACTGGGAGTTTTGGTGGTGGAGAATGGGCACTGGTGAAGGTACGGGTGTTTCATTGTATGACCGAGACTTAAACCCGAAAGCTTAGTAACAGCTCTCTCAGTGATTCAATAAATAAAATTATAAAAAATGAAAAAAAAATAGTAAGGTGGAGTTCATGCACAATTCAATCAGCTAATCAGTGGCTGAATAAATAGCAGTACTCCTACATTAAAAAAAATTTTTTTTGACTAAAATAAAATTCAGAACTTTCCCCCGGGGCCCACTGTCATGTGCTTTGTGTTGGGGGTGGGCTCCCAAGTGGTGCTCAGGGGTCTGGGGATCACTCCAGTGGTGACATGGGGGGCTCAGTTCGAGGGTCCCAGGACGCAGGCCCATCCACGTCCAGGGACTACCTGCTGGTACTTGGGGGCCTGCTCAGTTGGCATGGGTTGGTTGGGGCCAAGGATGGAACCCACGTAGGGGGCGTGCAGGGCTGACTCCCTAACCATTGGACCTGGCCCCATCTCCCTGACAGGGGAAGCAACCACACCTCCCTGGGGTGGGCCTTCCAGAACAACAGCTCTGTCTGTTGTCTGGGAGCTCCGAACTCTGCAGAAGAAAGGCCACGCTTGCTAGATCCTGCCAGTAAATAACACAGAGCTCCTCAGATGCCAAGATGTAACTGTGTTATTTTTGTTGTTTTCCTTTTAGGACCTTGCAGAATGACTGGTGGGGAGGGGCAATATACAAAAAGTAGACCCGGAATGAGCCAGGGAGGGCCCAAGCCAGCACACAGGGGACCGAACTGTTGCGTGGAAAAGGGTCAGAGTCAGCGCCAGGAGCGGTGGCAGGAAGGGCAGTGCCCTGGCAGGGGCGCCAGCAGGGTCCTGCAGGCACGTCCACTCGGCAATGATTCTGCTCAGTGTCAGTCTCAAAGAGGGCTCTGGGGGGGAGCCGGGAAATAGCCCCCCAAGATAATCCCCAGGGAGACTCACATCTGAAACAGATGGGGGGGGGGTCCTGGAGGCTACTAGCCAGCGGCCCTGATAAATGGTCCAGGTGGGCGGAGCTGCCCACCCGCATGCCCACGGAAGGGCAAAAGGGTGGCCTGCAAGGAGGTGGCTTTTAGGAATCTGCCTTTGCCTCTGGGGCCTGTGGTCATCTCTGCAGGCCAGGGCAGGTGGAGGCTTCCACCTTCTTTGATGTGTATTTTTCTTTTCTTTTTGGGTCACACCCGGTGATGCACAGGGGTTACTCCTGGCTCACGCACTGAGGAATTACTCCTGGTGGTGCTCAGGGGACCGTATGGGATGCTGGGAATTGAACCCGGGTCGGCGAGTGCAAGGCAAACGCCCTACTCGCTGTGCTATAGCTCCAGCCCCTCTCTGGTGCCTATTGCTTTAACTGGCATTGGTGGTAGGGAGAGAGGAAGGAAAGGACACCTCCCCCCCCCTCCTCCTCTTCTTCCTCTCCCTTCTCTTTCTCCTTCTTTTACTCTTTCGTTTGATCAGAGCTTACTCCTGATCACTCCTGGCAGGGCTTGGGGGACCCCCACGGGGTACCAGAGACAGAACCCAGGTAATGTTGCATGCAAAGTAAGCCCCTTAACATCTGTACTAGCTGTCCAGCCTGGCCCAAAGGACAGTTTCTAGGTGGCCCCGAGGGACAAAGGTGTAGTGGGGTGCTGACTGTAGGATCTTTTCCTGGACCTCTCCACAGACGGAGCAGAGGCTGTGAGTCAACACTCTTCCCCTCACACGGACCGCCCCCCCAGTCTAGTTTTCCGACACTGACATTCTAAGGCAATCCTTGCAGATGTGCATTACCAGCGGGATTACTCCCTTTAGCCTGAGACAGATGCCTGCAAGCCAGCAGGCAGATGCAGACAGTCTGGTTCCGCTTAAACTGCCAATCCTGGGGCTGGAGGGATAGCACAGTGGGTAGGGCGTTTGCCTTGCACCTGGCCCACCCGGGGTGATTCCCAGCATCTCATAGGTCCCCTGAGCACCACCAGGAGTAATTCCTGACTGCAGAGCCAGGAGTAACCCCCTGTGCATCATTGGGTGTGACCCAAAAAGCAAATACATAAATAAAATAATAAACTGCCAATCCTGGCGCTGCTTCTGCAGGGAAAACAATCCCTCAGAGCTATATCCCTGCGGCCCGCGCTTGGCATATCGGCTTTCCTTCTCCGGGGGTGGGGGTCGCTGCTGAGTGGGGTGCAGCGGGATTCCCGAGAAAGGCCAACTCGACTGCACCTCGCTCCGCGGGAAAGGCAGAGGCGGCGGCCAGCCGCGAGGAGCCGGCAGGGGGCGCCCGCGCCCGCCGTGGGCGGGGCCGGCCGGAAAGGGGCGGGGCGGCAGGGGAGGGGCCGGCCGGAAGGGGGCGGGGCGCCGCCTTCTCGCGAGAGTCGGCGGGACGGCGCGGGCCCAGCATGGCGGACTCTCCGCGGCGCGGGAAGCGGGGCTCGTGGGTGCGGGCGCGCAAGGCGCGACCCCAGCCCGCGCTGGGCCGCCGGCGCCGCCGCCGCGTCGAGACAGGTCGCGGGGGGGGCCGGAAGCGCCTGCGGCGGCGGGTGCTGCAGGCGCTCGCGGCGGGCGCCGACTGGCTGGAGGGCGCGTGCCCTGAGGGGCCGCGCGGCGCCGAGCCCGGCCCGACCCCGGCCCCCAGCCCGGCCTCCAGCCCGACCCCGACCCCGGCCCCGACTCCGACCCCGGACCCGGACCCGGCCCCCGCCCCGACCCCCGCCCGGACCCCGGACCCGACCCCCGCCCGGACCCCGGACCCGACCCCGGCCGCGGCCCCCGCCCGGAACCCGCCCGCGGCCCCCGCCCGGAACCCGAACCCGATCCTCGCCCACCTGCAGCACATCCCCGTGCCGCGCCCCGTGAGCCGGGGCCGCGTCCTGCTGCTGCTGCCGCTCGAGCAGGTGGGTGGGCACGGCGGGGCGGGGGAGGGGCCGTGGGGACCGCGCGCGTGACCGAGCCGCCCACCCTCCACCCCCCCCGCAGGGCTACACCTTCAGCGGCACCTGCAGGCTCACCTGCGTCCACGGGCAGGTGCAAGTGCTGGGCTTCACCCTGGGCCGCGGCCACGCCCGCGACTTGTTCTCGCCCTACACCCACGCGCGCCTGACCATCAGCGCCGTCCACTACCCGGCGCCCGAGCGCAGCGACAAGGACACCAGGAGGGACCTGCGGGCCTCGCTCAGGCCCTACATCAAGCTGGGTGAGCCGGGGAGCCCACCGCGTCCGGGGGCTCGCCACGGGAGACCCTCCTGGCTCCCCAGAGCCCCACGTCTTCTCCCTTTTTGTGTGTGACCCCCCCCTTTGTGGTTGGTTGGTTTGGGTGGGGGCACACTCAGGGTTTACTCCTGGCTCTGTGCTCGTGGCACCCTCGAAGGTGCTGGGGACCCAGCCCCAGGCCTGCTTGAGTAAGACAAGTGCCTTCCAAAGCCCCTGAATTGCATTTTTGGGGATTCTTGTGCTCAGGGGCGCATACATAGTGGCTGGTTTTTTTATTTTATTTTATTTTTTGTCTTCGATGTTTGGGCCGGGTTGGAGCGATAGCACAGCGGTAGGGTGTTTGTTTGCCTTGTGCGCAGCCAGCCCGGCCTCGCCAGGTTCGATTCCTCCGCCCCCCTCGGAGAGCCCAGCAAGCTACCGAGAGCATCTCGCCGAGAACACAGCAAAGCAGGTCAAGCTCCCCATGACGGATTTGATATGCCAAACACAGTAACGAGTCTCAAAATGGAGACGTTACTGGGCCTGCTCGAGCAAATCGATGAACAACGGGAGGACAGTGCTACAGTGCTTTTTGGGTCACAGCCAGAGTTTCACAGGGGTTCCTCTTGGCGCATGCACTCAGGCGTTCCTCCTGGCGGTGGTCGGGGGACCCTATGGGATGCTGGGAATCGAACCCGGGTCGGCCGCGTGCAAGGCAAATGTCCTCCCCGCTGTGCTATTGCTCCAGCCTCATGGCTGGCTTTTGAGCCAGGGTCAGTGAGTCACAAGGCAAGTGCCAGGCTGGCTCTCGCCATTCTACACATGAACGAAACAGTCCAAATGGTGGGCACAGCTGGTCAGGGCAACCGGTGGACTTCCGGCCTGTGTGTGCTCCTCTTTCCTGGATCATCAGGAGGCCCTCGGGCAGGCAGTGTCCCTACAACTGGCGCTTGCAGGTGGCTGGGCACATCAGCGCAGAGGGAGTGGGCTTGATAGGTGGTGCCGCCTCTAAGGGAGCACGTCTTTGCCTCTGCAGAGGACCGGAACTGGGTGATACAGAAGTACTCCCACCTGTGTTCCGTTGTCTTGCTGGAACCCGTGAAAAGCAACATGGTGAACTACATAGTCAGCCACCCGGGCCTGTCCATGGTCTTCTCCCAGGAGGTAAAGCAAGTGCACCTTCAGGGTCACACTCACGTCTGCCCCACCGGTCGGCTTGCGCTGTCCCCTGAGACCTTGGTGGCTGTCCTGTTGGATCCTGTGCCAGGCCCGGGGAACATGGAGGTCGGCAGGGTGCCTGGTGCAGAGATGGGACTCACGCGTGCGTGAGGTGTCACCAGCTGCAGGGGTGATGTGGCTCTTTGGGGGCGGGAGGGGGTGGTCCAGAGGTCCACATGGCATGTGGGAGTTGGTCGGCCCACGGTGGGTGTCTCCAGGCAAGCACCCCAACCTCTGCTGTCCATGGGCGCGGAACGGCAGGTTCTCACCTTAAGCTCTCAGTCCACCAGCCTAGTTACCTCGGCCACCGAAAAAACAACTCAAGAGCTGCAGGATGTCGGGATCAAAAAGGAAAAAATGAAGAGTGGCCTGGAGATGTCCGAGAGCGCCCTCTCGGCCCTGGAGGAGCTGGTCAGCCTCTCCTGCGGTGAGCCAGGGCCTCGGGGCGCACTGGGAGGGGGAGCCCCTCGGGATGGGCCTCACGGGGTTTCTGTCTGTCTGTCCCCCCAGAGGAGGTCGACGGCTGCCCTGTCATCTTGGTGTGCGGGCAGCAGGACATCGGGAAGTCGACGTTCAACAGATACCTCATCAACCAGCTGCTGAACAGGTGCGAGGGCGCCTTCTTAGCCCAGGGCGACCTCTGGCCCCCTGGAGTGGATATGTTGGTTCAGAACCAGAGGATCAGGGAATAGGCAACTTTGGTTTCGTTTAAGTCATTTGTCTTTGGGGGGCCGGGGAGCTCAGGCACAGGGTCTCAGGCGCAAGGCCCCAGCTCTGGGTTTTTTGGTTTTTTTTTTTTTGCTTTTTGGGTCACACCCAGCGATGCACAGGGTGTTACTCTTGGCTCATGCACTCAGGAATTGCTCCTGGCGGTGCTCGGGGGACCCTATGGGATGCTGGGAATCGAACCCGGGTCAGCTGCGTGCAAGGCAGACACCCCACTCGCTGTGCTATTACTCCAGCCCCTTGCTCTCCGTTTTAAAGGGGACCTCTCAGGACAGCTGTGCGCCCTGTGAGTTTCCTCCGCCTTCCGTTTCTCCTCCTGTGTCCCCTGGGGCTTCTTTCCTTCCTTCTCTTCTTCCCTCCCTCCCGTGTTTGAGGGACCATGCAGCTCTAAGGGGCCAAGCAGGGCCCACCTCCTGGGCGCTCCTGCCCCAAAGGTCTCAACACAATAAGGCTTTGGGGGGAGCGGGGATCCCTACTCTGCTTGGGGGCTGCTTCCAGGGGCCTCTCGGCCTATTGGCAGCTCTCCTGTCTCTGTGGTTTTTTGGGGGGCCATACTCAGGGCTTCCTTCTGGCTCTGGGCCATCTGTGGTGCCAGGGTCAGACCTGGGTGACCTCGCGCTGGGCACACCTCTCTCCACCTGCCACCTTCTGACGCAGCATCGTCCCGAGGCTGGAGAGGTAGTACAGTGGGTATGTTTGCCTCGCACACGGCATGCCTGTTTGATGCACGGCATGTCACTGCAGGAGCGTGACCCCTGAGCACAGCAGGCCGTGACCCCAAACCCCACCGTTGCCCCCAAGAGCAGCATTGTCCTGAGCGCCCCATCTTGCAGCCTGCCTCAGCTGTGGCTCCGAAGGCCAATGCCCACTGCTCATATCCCTGGACGCTGCAGGCCGACGCCCACTGTACCCCTGGGCCCTGCCGGCCACCGCCCCCTGCCCATACCCCTGGGCCCTGTGGTCCGATGTCCCCTGCCCCAGTACCACATGGGCCACCCTTTTCCTCCACGTTTCCAGCCTCCCGTGCGTGGACTATCTGGAGTGTGACCTCGGACAGACGGAGTTCACCCCTCCCGGCTGCATTTCTTTACTTAACCTCACGGAGCCAGTCCTTGGTATGTACTCAGCGTTTCTTCGCGCCTTGCTAGGCCTCCTGCGCTTTAAAGCGAGTGTCAGAGCTCCCGCCCCGCTCCCTTTCCCCGGCGCAGTCCCGGGCAACTGCTGCTGGTACTGGCAGGAAGAGTGAAGGGATGTTGTTTCTATTAAATTTTACTTTGTGGGAGGGGCGGCTGGAGCGATAGCACAGCGGGTGGGGCGTTTGCCTTGCACGTGGCCGACCCAGGTTTGATTCCCAGCATCCCATATGGTGCCCCGAGCACCGCCAGGAGTAATTCCTGAGTGCAGAGCCAGGAGTGACCCAAAAAGCAAAAAAAAAAAAAAAAAATAGACACCAAAGAAGGTGGAAGCTGCCACCTGCCAGACTAAGGGCCTGGTGTGCATCTCTGCCCTGGCCTGCAGAGATAGGGCATACGCAGTGGTGCGCAGGTCTTACTCCTGGCTGTGCACTTGGGGATCCCTCCTGGAATCCTTGGAGGACACTGGGCGCTGGGGATTGAGCCACCAGGGTCAGCCGTGTGTGAGGCCGGTGACCTCCCTGCTTCCCCTGGCTCCAGGCCCAGTGAGGACAGTCTCGGTTCCACTCTAGTTTCAGTTGGTTAGGTTTGGGGGCGACAGCTGGTGTGGGCTCAGGTGTGGCCAGGCCTGCACTTGGCCTCCTTGTTTCGTCTTGTATTGGGGCCCGGCCATGCTCTGCAGTGCTCGAACCTTCCTCCGTGCCATGCCCGAGGGACCCTGTGTGCTGTCAGGTTGGAACGCGGTTGGGCCCCCCCTGCAAGGCCAGCGCCTCCAGCCTGTGCTCCGATGTGCCCTTTGCCCAGCCCGGTCCGTCTCGGCTCCTGGTCGTGGCGCGCTCCCCTTCTCTCCCCCCCAGGAGAGCTGGACAGCCCGATCTCCCATATTCCCAGGGCCCCCTTACACCCACCAGAGGACGCCCCAGAAGATGGTGTACTTCGGGAGGACGACATGCCACGACCTCATCGACAGCTACATCGAGACGGTGAAGTATGTGTTTGCTGCCTACAAGAAGGAGGCTCCGCTGATCATCAACACCATGGGCTGGATGACAGGTAAGCCCCACGCAGAGCTGAGGGAGGGTAGGCGCGCCTCCGGGCAGCCTGACCCACCGCGCCTCCTCGGCCGCAGACAAGGGGCCGCTGCTGCTCGTCGACCTCATCCGCGTCCTGGCGCCCAGCCATGTGGTGCAGTTCTCCTTCGAGATGCGCAGCAAGCTCATCCCGGACCTCACGGCTGCCTACGTGGACGACACGGACGGGCTGTACACCAAGAGCCCGGCCAGGGCGCGGGCCCGGGGCTCAAGCTTTCTGCCTGACCTGCCCGAGCCGGAGCTGCCTGAGGACGAGCGGGTGGGCCCCGCGCTCACCACCGCGCACAAGCTCATCCACGTCAGATCTGCGTTCACGATCCGGAGACACACGCGCAACAGGTGACGCCCCGGGCCTGGCCCGGTGTGGTGCCTTCTGTAGCTCTAGGGGTTGCTTTTCTTCGGTTTCGGGGCCACACCCGACTGTCCCGGGTTCCCTGTCCTCTGGGTGGCGCCGTGGACCAAGCCTGGCCTCCTGCACTGCTGGGTCTGTGGCCTTGCCAGCCCCTCCCTCCCAGTCTCCAAGGAGTCCCTTTTCCTTCGGGTTACGCAGAGTTGTCACCTGCCCACTGCAAGTGTCCAGGTGTGGCTGCAGGGAGCACCCCGGGACCTCTGCAGGTCTCTGCACCGAGCAGCCAGACCTCGGGGTGCAGTGAGGTGCCCTGCGGGGGCCACGGTCTGGCTGACGCTTCTTCCCCACATTGACTTGGCAGGGAGCCGTTCAACAAGGTCCTGCGGGACCTGGCCCTGCTGGGCTACCTGAGCCAGCTTCACCCGCCCGCGCCCCAGCCCCTCCGGCCCCTGCAGGCAATGACGCCCTACCAGGTACCCTGGGCTCTGGGTCGGGGGTCCCCGTCTCCTTTCTCTGCTTTCCCAGCACTGACGTGACACAACACTCTCTGCCGAGATCCAGCACCCGCACTCGCCCGTTCTATCCTCAGGCCACCTGGCTCACTGCCTCCAGTTCGCAGATGCAGAATTGAGGGCCTGGTCCAGTGCAGGGGCAGAGCTGGCCTGCAGGCCAGCCCCCCGCAGTGTCCGAGTCCCCACCTCGCTCGAGCCCCCCCGTGGCGTCATTCTCTCTCCCTCCTGCTGGGGCTGACCCGGCAGGGGTCGGTGCTCACGGGCCCACCTGCCCTCCAGGTCCCTTTCAACGCCGTGGCGCTGCGGGTCCTGCATGCCGACGTGGCCCCCACCCACATCATGTACGCGGTGAATGCCAGCTGGCTGGGCCTGTGCCGGTTGGCGGACGAAGTGCGCGGGTACACGGACGGCCCAATCCTTCTGGCCCAGAACCCGCTCTGTGACTGCCTGGGCTTCGGTGAGTGGCCGGAGGACCCTGTGTCCCGGCCAGGGCCCGCCGCCCACCTGCCCTCCCTCGGCCCCAGCCTCCTTCCTTTCTGCCCGTTTTCTGGCATTTGGGTCCTGCCTGGCCGTGCTCGGGGCTCCCGTGTGCCAGGAGTGCATCGTGCCCTCCTCCTCTCCGGGCTTCTCCGTCCGCCAGCACCCCTGGACTCCGTCCTCCTCCAGTGTGGCCTGGGGCCCGGCCCTGCCCTCATGGCACCATGCGAGCGAGTGTCCCCGTCCATGTCCGCAACACCCTGAAGGGCACCGGGGCAGGGCTGGCTTCTGCTCTTTGAGCTGTATCTGCTCGGAAACTCTTCGGGGGGATGGGAGGTCAGTGTTGGGGCTCAGGGCCATGCCCCCCCGCCCCCCGCGCCCCGCCCCCGCTCGCAGAGCCTGGACCCACCTGCACTCAGTCCTCACCTCCAAAGCCCCCTTTATTGGGGCTTGGAGGCTGGACTTGGGGCCCTGCTCCCTGCATGTCTGTCTCCTTCCACTGGGCCACAGCCCTGGCCTCAGACTCTAAATTATTTCTGTGTGTGAGGCACCCTGGGTATATTTTGAAACTATGAAACGAGAGAGAAAAGTGAAAGTATGAGCTGGGGCCGGGGAAATAGGACAGCAGGGTCATTTGCCTCACACGTGGCTGACTTGGGTTCGATCCCCAACGTCCCCTAGGGTCCCCCGAGCATCACTAGGAGTAATTCCTGAGTGCAGAGCCAGGAGTAAGCCCTGGGCTTCAGCAGCTGTGGCCCAAAAGCAACACCATAAAAGTGTACTCAGAATCAAACACAAGGGGCCAGAGAGAGGGCGGGGTGGGGGCTGCAGGGGGAAGCAGCCTCGCACAGGGCGACTCGGGTCCGTCTCCGGTCCTGCACATGGTTCCCCAAGCCGACCAGGGGTGGGTCCCTGAGCACCACTGGGTGGGGCCCAGACCCTTCCCTGGTGATCGCAGAGAGTGAGAGAGACAGGGCCAGGCGCAGTGAGCTGTGCCTGACCGCGGCTTCCGTGTGTCAAGGCATCTGCCGGGGCGTCGACATGGAGAAGAAGCTCTACCACATCCTCACGCCTGTGGCTCCGGAGCAGCTCCGCACCGTTAACTGCCTCCTGCTCGGTGCCATCTCCCTCCCCAGCTGCGTCGTGAAGTATCAGGTACGGGACGACCCCGGGGGGCCATGTCCAGGGCTCCCGCAGGAAGGTCCGACCCATCTACCAGATGCGGCCTGTGAGCATGTCTCTGGGCTGACTGCCCGGAGGGGACAGGCGGGCCCATTGGTGTCATCTGTCCTCTGTTGTAGAACGGCCCGGAAGGGACCATCCCCTACGTCACCTCAGATTATAACTTCAAACTCCCGGGCGCCTCGGAGAAAATCGGAGGCAGAGAATTGGAGGACGGAGAGGAGGACAAGCTGCCGCCCCGACAGAGACCCCCGCGCCAGAAGAAGTCGTTGCTGGGGCCCTTGTGAGGGGCCGCGGGGGCCACACTCCTCGGGACTTGGCCCCCAAGTGGTGCCTGCCGCTGTCCTTTGGACACAAGGGACATGGCTGGGACATGGACGTTGTGGGCTGGTGCACTCTGCGCGGCACAGGGGCCTGAAGCCAATGGGGGCTGGCTCCCAAGTCGCTTGGCGAGGGCAGGTGACCGCAGGCCTCTGGAGGGAGGCCATGTGTGCTGGCCACGTGTCCCGGGAAGGGAACAGTACCAAGGCGGGCTCGCTGGCGGGCCAGGCCGCACTCAGCACACCTTCAAGGCGCTCTCGGGTTTTTTTATTTTACTTTCAAGCCACACCCGGTGATGCTGAGGGGCACTCCTGGCTCTGCGCTCTGCGCTCACGTCACTCCTGGTGACGCTCTTGGACCTATGGAGTGCTGGGGACTGAAACGGGGTCAGCTGCATGCAAGATCGGCACTTGCCCCACGCCCAGTCACCAGCCCCAACTTTGTATTTGGCTTTATGCTGAAAAAGTTGCTACCAGTTTGAATCTCCTGGACCCTCTTTCCTAGTCAGTCAGGACTGTTCTCTTCTGGATCGGGCGGCCCCGGCCCTGGCCGTATGGGGAGCAGCCTGTGGCAGCTGGGCCTGGCCATGTGCCTGCGGGCTCTAGGACCAATGCAGGATTTCTCTGGAAGACAGTTCACAGCAGCCAGGCCGGGGAGGGTTAGGGCTGCGTGATGTTCAGGCCACCCATCATTCCTGGTTTCAGACGGTGAGACATCGAGTCAGTGTGTCACGGGTATGCCTGGGGCCGCAGCCAGCAGCACTCAGGTCTTTGGTGTCCCCAGGGAACCATGCAGGATTGGGGGGCTGGACCTCGGGCCCAGTGGTGTGTGTGCTGCAGTTCAGACTGGGCTTGGGAGCTCCCGGCCCAGGGGCCCGGGAGAGCATGGCTGAGCTCCATCCCCAGCTCCACACGCCCTGAGGACAGAGACAGGAGCCCTCTCCAGGTGTCCCAGCAAAATAGGTTTGATTTTGGGCTTGTGGCCACCCCCGGCAACAGTCAGGGCACTCCTGTCTTAGCATTCACGGATTCCACTGGCAGGACTTGGAGACCATGTTGGGTGTCGGACTGGGCTTGGCCAAGCCCAACTCACACTCGCTCCAGCCCCGGGAATTTTTTTTTTTTTTTTTAAGTAAAACCAGTTTACTCGGACAGTAAAAGGACTGGGGGAGGTAAAGACATACCTAGAGAGCATTTCCTTGGAATGCACCCTGAAGTAGGGGAGCAAGTGTCGGGCAGATGTGGACCAAAGGCAAGGCACAGCTCAGGATGCTTCCTGGGTGGGGGCACACCTGGCAGTACCCGTTTGCTCCAGGCTTTGCACTCAGGCACTCCTGGGGGTGCTCTGGGACCATATGGGATCGATTCCCAATCGGCCGTGTGCCAGGCAAGCGCCCTACCTGCCGTTCTGTTTCTCTGAGCCCCGGGGTCGAAGAGAAGGTAAGCTGCGTCTGAACGCTTCTGTGGGTGTGAAGTTAGGACTGAGTGGGCTCACCAGCAGGGCACAGCAGGCCAGGGGGGCCCCAGTGGCCTCACGCACCCGCGGGGGTGCTTGCTCCAGACTGGCCAAGGCCGGTTCCGCCTGAAATGCTCCATGAACATGTGCAGGGCCCATGCGGATCTGCACAAGGTCTCCTGCCCCTTACCGCAGGTAGCTGAAGTCAGCACTGAGGCCAGGTTCCCTAGGGGCCCGTTTATACCCCGTTGGTTTAGCTTGTCCACGATCTGTTAGTGTGACTGCGATGGGCATCTCCCTGGCCAGCACCCCCTTCCCCTCTGGGGCCCCCTGCCCAGTGCTCTGGTGGGCTTTGGGCCCGGCACTGCTGCCCATCCCCGGTCTGGGTGCAGCCAGAGGTCTGTCCTCGGCAGGAAACAGGCCTGGTCACCAGGGGGCGCTGCAGGCTCCATGGTAAGGCCTGGGGGGTAAGGGGGCGCTGCCTCTCCCCCGCACAGCTGGCCTTTGTGGCTGCCAGTTTTGAGTGGGCACGCAGGGTCCCCCAGACAGGCTCCCACAAACCTTTTTGTCTTTGTGTGTGACTTTTAAAGTAGCCCCTGGGTGTTTTTTTGTTCCCAGTTTTTGTACTTCAAAATCACTTCTCTTGGATCCGCTTAGAGGAAGGGCAGATATAAAAATAAATGACAGGATCCTCAAATGATAGCGTCTGCCTCCTGTTCTGTAAACAGACATTACTCCTGTCTGTCCTCGCTGCAGCCTCTGGGGGAGTCCGCCTGGCCGGGGGCGGGAGCAGGCGCGGGCCGGGAGGCCCAGGCTAGCTCAGAGGCCCAGGCTAACCCGCGGCGCTCAGGCATTCACCACGCCAGTCGGCTGCCAGGGTGGCAGGGTGAGGGCCAACTGGGGGGCTGGGGCAGATGGGGGGACCACACCCAGGGGTGCTCAGGGCTGACTCCTGGCTCTGCATCAGGAATTACTCCTGGTGGGGGACCCTGTGGGATGCTGGGGATCGAACCCTGGTGGGTCCTGAGCAAGACAGATGCCTTACCTGTCATACTTTCTCTCCGGCCTCCTGATGTGACCTTTCTAAAAATGCCCTGGGGGACCAGAGAGATGATTCAGGCGCTGGCCTTGGATGTGGCCCTCCAGTTCAATCCCAGGCGCCGTGTCTCGTTCCCTGAAGCACTCCACCCTGCATAAGCCAGTGGCCCAGTGGTAGAGCGCTTGGCCTGTATGTGGGAGACCCTAGGCACAGCCCTGGCAGCACACCTGACTCAGCTGGGAGTGACTCCCAAGTGCCACCAGGCACGGCACCAAAAGAACCAAGAACTCTTGACGCGTTTTGGGAGGGCTGGTGCGTTTGTGGTGGGCGGGAATGGCCGCGTATTGGTCAGGATGCCGGAAGGGCCCAAAATGAAAAAAAGTCACGTTTTCGTCTCCCTCCCGTCCCTGTTCCCACCTTAGAAGAGCCAAAAGCACATTTCCATCTTCTTCCTCCCCCGCCCTGCCTCACAAGGGCCTGTGGCCATGCAGACGGGCTGGCTGCTTGGAGGGCACCGAGGCCTTTGGGGCCTGCAGGTGCCAGTGAAGCCTGACCAGCAGAGTCCGTTCAAACCCTGTGGCTGGTCCGTCCAGGATGATGGGGTGACAGTCCTTCCCGGTGATGAGGTCACCCCAAGGCCCTTCTGTCAGAGGCGCAGACGCCACTGTGGGCTGGCTGGGAACCTCGTCCTGGGAGGCCAGAGACACCCACTGGACAGTACAGTGCCCACAGCCAGGCCAGAGATGACAGACCAGGGCTGGAGCGATAGCACAGTGGGTAGGGCGTTTGCCTTGCATGCAGCCAACCCGGGTTCAATTCCCACCATCCCTTGTGGTCCCCCAAGCACTGCCAGGAGTAACCCCTCAGCACCACCGGGTAAGACCCAAAAAGAAGAAGAAAAAAAAATAAAACATGACAGACCAGGTAAGGCGCTTACTTTGCACGCAGCAGACCTGGGTTCAGTCTCTGGTCCCCTGTATGGTCCCCTATCCCTCCTAGGAGTGACTCCTGAGCACTGCCAGGTGTGGCCCCAAGCAAAACCCCACAGCCACCCTCGCCTGAACCCCAAGCACCCCCGAAGGGCTGAGAGTCACCCGGTTCATGTCCACCCCAACAGGGCCCTGCTAGTCTTGACCTGATGCTTGTTCTAGGGGTTGGGCCACTCAGTGCTAAGACGACCACGGGGTGTGGGCGGAGCCGTCTCCTGCCCCCCCACACTGAAGTGGTCGAGATACTCCACCACAGAGAGCCTCTGGCCGACACCACGCCATCACTCCAGGGTCTGACTCGTGTGGCGCTTCGGAGACTGAATTTGCGTCATCTCAAGGATCTGGTCAGGCCATTTGGTTCCAGGTGGTTATCTAAAGGCTTGGGAGAAATGATGGCAAAGAGGGAACACAGGGGCACCCCCAGATCTCTGCCCACTTCAGGACTGAGCACAGCAGGCGCTGCCTTGGTTGGGGTGCAGTACTGAAAGAGGGGTGCTAGTGTTCCATCTTTCCCAGACCGTTCCAAGAGAATAACAGAAGGGAAGGGGGGCCCAGGGAGAATACAGAGTGCGCTACTTGCCTTGCATGTGAATGACCCTCATTCAGTCCCCAACACCCTCGATGGTCCCCGAATCCCCTCCAGAGGTAAACCCTGAGCATCACCAGGTATGGCTTGAGGGAAAAACTGTATCCTCCACAAAGTTTCAGGTCAAAAGGGGCAGGAGAGGGGCTGGAGTCATAGTACAGTGAGTAGGGCATTTGCCTTGCACGCGGCCGACCCGGGTTCGATTCCCAGAATCCCATAGGGTCCCCCAGCACCGCCAGGAGTAATTCCTGAGTGCAGAGCCAGGAGTAACCCCTGTGCATCGCCAGGTGTGACCCCAAAAGCAAAAAATAAATGGGGCAGGAGAGAGTAAAGAGGCCAAGCACAGTTCCGTCCCCGGCATCCCATAGGGTCCCCCGGGCTCCAGCAGAAGTGAACGCTGAGCCCCTCAGAGCGTGGCCCCCAAAGACTCAGTAAGGAATGGCCAGGGGCTTGCGCTCCCGCCTGGGTCCAGGATGGGGCTTAGTGGGCCTGAGCGGTGCCGTGAGTGGTACTGACTCCCAGGGTGGGTCACAGGAGGCTTCGCAAGAGTGGCCGAGGGGTTTCCGGGCCAGGGGTGGCCCGGGCAAGCTGGGAGGCTGGGAGCTCACTCGGTGTTGGGGGCAGTGTCCGCGGAGACCAACTGGGGCCTTGGGATGTGCCGGGGTCCCCAGCTGCCCATGGCGGTGCAGCAAGGAAAAATGCTTAACATTTCAGACCCTCCTGGCTGAGGAACCAGCCTGGGAGGTCAGGGATTATAGAGGGGAAGGTAACCTGCCAGGAGCCAGAGTGGGAGGGGTCTGCTGTGGGATCCCCAGAGGGGGGAACATGGAAGCAGGAAAACCCGGACAGCCCATGTGACTGGCCATTGAACCCCAGCGCTTTGCCACAGACCTCAGAGTTGCGGCTGCAGCTTTCACGGGCACGGGGTGCTGTGGGCACCCCG